CGACCAGTGGGGTCAGGACAATTTGATGCGAAAAATGCGCATGCTATTACTCTCAATCCCTATCATCTCTTCACCATGATGGCAGCCTCTAAATGCTAGAGTTCACATATGGGGTGTCACCACTAACTAATCAGGAGGTCTTAGACACAGGTTCAAATGACTGGCTAGGGTCTTGGACATGGGGAAAAGGCCTTTTAGGTGGTGGAAGTATTCATAGCAAAAGGTTCCACATTTTCCAAACACACAATCACAGTCAAACAAACCGGTATTTTCTATCTGCTATTCTGCATTACTCAATATCTCAAGAGCACAAGAGCGAAGGAGGCATAAACATCAGCATTTCCAAGCCAGACTGCTAAGAAACACTACTTAATGGGCATTATTCAGATTTTTTGGTAGTGGCTCTCTTTTGCTTTCAATTTTTTCTTTGTTCTACTTTCATTTTTCTTTTCATTCCTTAAGAGAGCCACCACTTCTGCATAAATTTCAAACACCTGCCCAACTTTTAAGCACTACCTCCAACACTCACATAGACTTTAGCAGAAACAGCAGAGAATATGTAAAAACCACTCTGTGGAACCTTCTAAAAGATGCAACAAGGGTGATTTTTTCGTTATAGACCAAAAGAAAGGATAACACACGGCTCAAAGGGGCTGACTAGGGGATATGACACATCAGGACAGTCAGTTTTTGGGCGTGGGCTAACCCTATGCCCCCATCATTTTAGCTAGTGACAACGTGAATGCTACACATCATGGAAGAGGGATCTATCGCACAAGAAAGAAACGAGCAGGCTCAAATCTCACATGGCTACCTATATGCTCTATCTCACATTCTGATACCCTGAACTAGATGCATAAACGACTGTCAAGAACAAGTAATCAGATCAAGTCACAGTTGACAAGCAAACAGTTGAAAAACTGAACCCCTACATCGTCCTACTGCACATCTCAGTCCTCATCATAGGTTGTCCTAGTCGCAAACAAGTTGTCATGCATTAATCCGAAAACCAATCAATTCATCCATCAAAACACAGTGCCAATATGATCAAACAGCAGTACTTGGAGCCCTCAAATCGTAAGATTCGGACAGCGGACTAGGCTCCAAGCACCCAAATAAATATTCCAACCGATACAAAGCACCCCCCCCCACACTGAAGCACGACATTGCCCTCAATGGAGTAGAGGGAAAGATAAGGGGAACGATGTTACCGGATTGGAACATTGCTGGGGGACTGGAAGTGGACCAGTCAGCGAGAAACAAACGGGAGAGTGGACAATGCTGCACAAATCGAACACCAGAAACACACTAGCACACTGTGCGTTAGGGATAAGTGTTAGCCCAGACGGCTACATCAAACCACAAAGGAAAAACCAAAAACAAAAACAAACGACACTAAGTTCAAGCTCCGCACACATGGAGCAAACACACAAAAGTCTAAAATGAAAAATAAAACACACTGAAACGAGCAACGAGTACAGCCTACTCGTCGCCAAGATCGTCGAGGTCGATGTCGTTCATGAACGCGTCATCATCAGCAGCGCCAGCAGCACCATCATCACCGTCAGCTGGGGCATGTCACGCTGGGGCATTGTTAGTGGTAAGTATTCCCGCCTGTCACGCGGGTGACCCGGGTTCGATCCCCGGCAACGGCGCCAAAAACTTGACTCACTCCTACTGTCACTCTAGAAAATGGCCAAGTGCAACCACTTCCTAAAGCGTAGTATAGCGGGTTTGGGTTTTATTGTCAACCCGGGTCCTAGATGTGATGACTACTCGGTGAATTCTTATTATTTAGCAATGAACTTTTAGTGCAACTCAAGCAAACAAAAACACAAAGCAAGTAAACGATTGTTGTCAAGTCAAGAGAGGTCACCCGGATATGGTTCCCCCTAGACTACAGTTAAGTCGGATTGCAATTTACCAAGTTCAGTTTTCGTGAAAGTTATACTGCGGAAGGTTCTTAATTAGCCTGAAGTCTCGACTAAAGGTCTCCAGACCCTCTCAATCTGAGTCTCTAGCGGGCGACTAACCTCTACCGGAGTAAACAGATTGAGGCCCTAATGAACCAAACCTCCACTACCGAATATACTTCGGTACAGAATAGCGAATTGGCTCCTCGACTAAAGTCACCAATTCGCCACCTTCAATTAAGGGTACTCTATCAACCTAGGCAGATATTCTCATTCTAAGTTAAAGCAGAAACAACAGGAATTTGATCAGGATTCAAGTCATTCAATCATTCAAACCTCAATCGAATATAATCAATTCACAAACTCTGTACTTGGGTTCATACAATCAGACCTAGCATACAAATCTAGGGTTCCCCATACCCAGATGAATGGGGGAAACTACTCCATAGAGAAAGAAGCAAAAGCAGATTCAGACGCGGAAATCATACTGTGAAGATGGATTTCTGCTCCTGGACGTTTAATCACACTTCTCCAAGCTCAAGCCGGGCTCCAATGGTGTTGAAGATCGATCTATGACGCTTGGGAACTCTGGTTCGTCGCTTTCTCTCTCTAGGTATCGCTTTCTCTCTCAAAAACTCGGAACCCTCTGAAAATTGGCCTTCTTTTCCTTTTATCAGCTGCCATCGCGATACCCAGTCGAAATACCCGGTCGGGTATTTTGGGTTCGACCGGGTATATACAAAACGCGCCGTTTCAACTTAGGGGAAAATCCCCGGTCTGTACCCATAATCCCCGACCGGGGATTTTAGGCATTTGCCCGGGCCCCCTTCTGCTTCTCACGGACGCTCGAAGTGAGAAATACCCGGTCAAGGCCAGAAAATACCTGGTCGGGTATTCCTGGTTTTGGCCGGGTATTTTGGTCCAACAGCCTCCTTCGTCCCAACTTCGCTCCTTTAGACCCGGAACTCGTTCCTCCGTCTCGATTCCAACGCCGGGACCTGAAATGTGACATAAACACATACCCTAGCGTGAAATCGGCTTAAAACACGAGATTCCTCACCACAAACGGCTTCAGAATAAGGGTGAAAACATGTATAATTAACGATCTATCAAACTGCTCCGTGAAGAAGTCCATCGACGGGCCAGAAGCCATCGACGGACCAGAAGGACTAGAGGAGGACTCGCCTCTTACTGGTCTCCGTCGAGGCTGAAGGTCCCCTGGTGGAGAGAGCGGGGGCTCCAGCTCATCGCCATCCATGGCCCCGTCATCATCATCATCATCCTCATCCTCCTCCTCACCGGAGTAGTCAGCATCCTCCTCGTCTTCATCGAGATCAACAACCTCCTCAGGAGGCAGGGAAAGCCCATCGACCCAAGTGCGGGTGCCGTCAGTGGTCAGGAGGAGTGCATTGTGGAGCACATCCCGGCTGAGGGGGGTGGAGCCGCCCTGTGCAGAAGAATCACGGAGTCCCTGGAAGCTGAGGCCGAAATGGCGCGCCAGACGAGTGATCAGAGGACCACAGTAGAGATGCTTGGGCTTCCCGTGGCACCGGGAGAAGGTGGTGGCCACGAAAGAACCCAAGTGCAGCATATGCTCCGGGTCCCTCATCGAATACATCGCATATAGCACCCGCTTCGGGATCTTGTGCGAGCCGGTGACGTTGGGGACGATGGAGCGGGTGATGAGCAGGTTCAGGATGTGCCACGCCGGCTTGAGAGACCGAACATATGTCTGGCCATGGTCGAAGAATTCCTGGGCATAGTCGCGGCGGGCTATCTTGCGGTAGAACTCACCTTGGTTCCAGTCCGTCGGGTGTGCAACCTCCACCTCGTGGCTGTCGAAATGGTGGTACTCGATCCCCAAAGCATGGGCCAACTCGTCAATGGTCAGCTCCCGGTGATGTCCGCCCAGTCTGAACTTCACTGCATATGAGTCACGGGCCGCCCTGTTATCGTACTGGAATGTGGTGTAGAACTCCCACACCAGCTCGGTGAAAGTGGGCTCCTCTATACTCAGCAGCGTCCGCCAATCGCGGTGACTGATGGCGTCGGTGATGTCCGGCATGCAGTGGAGCTGCTCGAACACGGCCCACTCGAGATGGTGGTGGCGCTCCAGTTTCCCCCGAATCACCTTGCGGAACTGGTCCGCATAATCCGGGTGCAGGCGCAGACCCTGCACAAACGGATGGTCGAGGGACATGGTCCTGCAAAATCAACAAACCAAAGGTGGAGCCAAGAAAAATTTTGTCAGGACCAACAACATGGGTTCATCACTTCTCCCACACTCAGGCTCACCTAGGCTAACAGTTAAGCACAGCCGGTTGAATCGCAAGCAACTCAACCGGAAGCAAGGCAAGACCACAGAACCAACCACATTAAGTACACGGGCAGCACATATACCGCATATAAATCGTACTCAAGGCATCCCTCGCCCTACTCTAAATCAGGCATGCAAACACAGTTCTCGGTCCTACAATCTACAGTTCGATTTTCCAGGAAAAGAGTAATTAACAAGAAACACACCTGGAAACGCAAGTAAAACTGTAGCTAGACTCGAGGGATGGGTGAGGGACGCGAGAGGGAGCCAAAAATTCATCCGGGAGGCTCGCCGGAAAATGACCGAAAAGTCGCCGGAGGGTCACCGGAAAGTCGCCGGAAAATGACCGGCGACCGGCGGTGGAGGGCAGCCGGCGGCGGAGGAACGGCGGCGGCCAAGAGGAGAGAGGGGAGAGGATTTGAGAGGAAGAGAGAGGAGAAATTTTGGGAAAATGAGGGTAGAGAGGAGAGAGGGGAGAGGATTTGAGAGGAAGAGAGAGGAGAAATTTTGGAAAAATGAGGGTAGAGAGAGAAATTGACCGGGGGTTTCCTTTAAATAGTAAAAATCCCCGGTCGGGTATTTTTGATTCCACGACCGGGGGTTCTTAAACGCAGCGTGTCGAGTGCAATATTATACCCGGCCTTCAGCCAAAAATACCCGGTCGGGTAATTTTTTCGGCGGATAAACCCATGGATTTGGGTTTGACAAAACCCGCCCCAACCCGACCCATTGCCATCCCTAGTCTTCACACGATAAGCAGTTACTTACACACAAAATGACAGATTAGGTTGGGACCAAAAGAGAAACATACATTACACTCGCTGGCTTATTAATTACCAGCTACCAGCTTAAAAACATCCAGCCTAACTTTTACTTGGATACATTATACATACACAATGAAAGCCTCCACACAGCCACAGTAACGACAGACAGACTGAAAAACAAGTCAGCTAAAGCTTCATTCATCATTCATGAGCTGGACCCTTCACCACCGTAATAGGACAAGTCCCATTATCCACCACGTAGTTGCTCACACTTCCCATTATCACCCTGGAAACAAAACAAAACAAAAACGCGGTAAAACGGTTAAAACGTTAAAAAAAAAAAAGGAAGTCGGCAGAGGAACTTGAAACAGTCTTCCCAGTTTTTACTTTTACCTCTTGAGCTTGCCGAAGCCTCTGTTGCCGATAACCAGAGAAGTGAGAGGGATGCGATCGATTGCTTCACAGATCTTCTCCCTTGGATCTCCCCAGTAGATCTTCATCACCACGATAATCTGCCAACACAACGAATCACCTCGCTACCCGACCCGAATCCGAATCAAATCTGTGCTTAACGAAAAGAGGGAAAGTTCTATTTACCTTCTTCTGTCTGGCAGCAGTATTGAGAACGTCGAGCGTCTCCGGATCAGGCTTGACCCCGTACTTGCTCATCGTCGCCGGATCGGAGACCTCGACCAGCGGAATCAGAGCTGCAGAAGAACAAAGAGGAAATGAAGTGGGAAATTGAATCGAAACGACGGCGAATTTTTTTCTTCCCGGGGAGGAGCAGGGGAAAGGGGAATTGAACTTACGGGAGCCAGTGGTTTCCCAGAGCAGCATCTCGCCGGATTCGGCGTCTTCGGCGGGGCGGGTGTGGACGAGGATGAGGTGGTCGCCGTCGCGAGCGAGGTTGTCGATCGCCCATTTCAGAGCCTTGATGCTGCACGGGGAGAAATCCACCGCCACGCCGATCCTTCTACCACTGTCTGCCATCGCTTTCCCTTCTTCTTTCGCTCCTCGATCCGTGACTCTCTCGCTCTGTGTCGGCTCAACTTTGAATAAGTTGGAGCAGAATGTCGTTTCTGCTTTATGCGAGTGTTTGTTTTCCATCGATATTTTCCATGGATTTTTTTTTTGGGAAGGTTGTAGAAGTTTGTGTGGTGTGGTGTCAGGTGTGGGGGAGAGGCAGAGATAGGGGTGGGAAACGGGACGGGACGGGATATCCGTCCCGTTTTAAACGGGTACTCAGTCCCATTTGGAGACCAAAGTCCATCCCATATCCCAAACTCATATGGGAAACGGGTACCCATTACCCGTATGGGACTGTTTATCACTAAAAAATCACTCAATACCACATTGATTACTTTCAAGGAGTGGTAGTGATTTATAAGGCCAGCTCAACATTAATGATTAAAAGAGATAGCTGGGCCTTGTTGAGTTGGGTTTTTGGGCCTAAGTGGCCAAGCCCCTTCTTCCCTACATGATGGCCGACCCGTCTCCTTGGCCCCATAGCCGGACGATGCGTTTCACTCCTTGGTAGGAAATTTGGCCTCCAAAAAACTAAGTCTTGGAAACAAGGCGACACAACGGGGTGCCAAACGGTCGGGTACCAAGCCTGGTACCAAATAAGGGGGCCAAACAAGAGGGTATCAAGCCGACAAGGCAGGCTTGATACCCAAATAAGAAATTTGGCTAAGTCTTGGAAACAAGGCGACACAATGGGGTGCCAAACGGCCGGGTACTAAGCCGGGTACCAAATAGGAGGCCATATGAAGACAAGAGGGCGGCACAACGGGGTGCCAAACGACCAGGTACCAAGCCGGCAAGGAGGGTCTGGTACCAAAGTATATGAGAATTGGCTAAGTATGGAGCCATAGGGGTATCAAGCCGACAGGCTTGGCAGCCAAGCAAGGAGACAAGGTACCATGACCCCAAGGGGGGTATCAAGCCGTCCAACAAGACTGACGTGGTGGCCAGGCAACAGGGGGCCAAGACGGACTTGATAGCCATACATCAGGGTATCAAGCCAACAAGACAAGAAATTCGACTAAGGCATGGTGGCTAGCTGAGGTGGCCACCCGACTAGGTACCAAACAACCATGTATGGCCCTTGGGGCCATATGGAGACTAAGTCCCAAGATGGGCATGATGGCCCCTAACGGGGTACCAAGCTGGCCGAGTGCAAGATACCAAGATGACATGTTAGTGCCATGACAATCACTCTAAGACTAAGTGTGGAGACCTGGGGGTAAAGGGGCCAAATTCTCGTCCTGCCTAGGAGGGTAATATGGCCTAGCTATCAAGACGGTTCATCGAGGTGGCTATCAAGACGAGGAGCATGGAGCCATCAGGGATGTCGAGGATATGATCAAGACTTCATCATGGAGGCTAAGGCAAATAACCTCAACCCCATCCAGTTATGACAAGGCGACAAGGCTCAACACCAACCCGACCCGGCATCGAGGCCATCAAGTACCCACCAACCCCAAGACGGGACAAGGGCCTCAAGGCGACGGTTACCAACTAGTCACCAAGGCGGCGACAAGGACCCCGAGGCGGTTTGGAGCAAGAGGCCAGCTAGCAGTTACCAAGGCGGTTACCAAGGCAATTACACCTAGTGGCTATAAATAGAAGAAACGAAGAAGAAGCGGGGGTTCCACAACCAATCATTTGACACACTATGTCAAAATTTATCTTTTCTCTGCAACTTGCCTTTTAGTTTTTCGGAGCTCTCACTGAACCTCCATAGGAGTAGAGTAACGTAGCTTGTTCCCAAAAAACCATCAAAACATCAAACACCCTCGTTCGAACATTGTTCGGAGAGGAGTGGACCGTGTAATTATCGTTGTTCAAGAAGTCAAAGGTGCATTCATTGTGTTCAAACACCAGTTTTTCCTCGCCGGAAAACAAATTGGCACACCTGGTGGGACTATGTGTGTTTGATTTGATGGCTCCAGGACTGAGAGAACAGGAAGGTGATATTTCACCAAGAGCTGTGAAGGAGTTGGCGGCCAAGTTCAAATTTGGCCAAGCATCAGTAAGTGTTGTCGGAAACAATGGCATGATTGAGATCTTGCCACCGGCGGCACCTGGTGCCGATGTAACCACCACTGCCATGTCACTCCGCTCAATAGTGGATGATAACTGCCAGATGGTGGTGGAGAACCGTCAAGTGATGATGGAGATCCGTCGATTGATGGAAGAGAGTTTGAATGGTCTTGTTAGAAGTTCACAACAGACAAGTCTAAAACTTGCTTCTTTTAGTTCTATGTTAGATAGACGTTTGGATGAATTGCTTGAAGCAACTACAGAAAATACAAATTGCTTGGATAAGCTTAAAAAATATTTTATAGAACCAGTGGTGCGAGACATTTCTTTACCAAAAAATGGTATAGATCCGCCGCCAAATATTGCTACTGAGTATACAAGTATCCTGTTCGCCGGTGGCCGGACTACCCAGCCATGGTCAGGGAATTTACCGCCTCCGGCAATGAGTCAACCACCTCTTCAACAAGGCGGTTATGACAAGAATATTACTAACATATTCACCACTCATGTAAAGCAACTGCCGCCTGTGCAGACAGTTACTCTAAAAGCTGTCTCAGAGGCTAGACCATTCTTGAACATGAGAGTTGGTGGAGGGTCACTAGCTATGGACGTGCTACCACAAACTTGCCCACCCTCTTTGACACCCTTACTCAATTGGTATAGTGGATGCAAACCACCTAAGGGGCAGGAAGAGGGGCATAGAAGCCTACCACCTGACAAGTTGAACGTGAAGTGTCAGGCTGGGGGGCAAGTTGATGTCAACAAAGGTGAACAAAATGGTGTGTCCAACAGAACACCATATTTGTTTCCTAAGGATGGCATGGGGGGCATATCTCCATCTCCATTCAGTGGGCAGGGGGGCATGTCATCACACATGAAGCATGGAGTGAGTGGCAAGTCTAAGTGGGTGTTGCCTACCCATGCCACCTATGATTTTCATAACTTTGACAACGTGTCAAAGAGTGCACAAGGAGGCAAGGCCCCTTGTAGCATGCCACCCATGAAGGGTCGACAAGGGGGCATATCATCAACCACAAACAATAGAAAGATACACATCCCAAATAAGTCACAACATGAAGCCACACATGCTTTTAGTAAGCATACTAATATGGCTAAGTCTGGCAAGGAGGGCACGTCAACAATCATGAATAATGGTATGGGGGGCATGTCTCCAACCAGTGGACAGGGGGGCATGTCACCGACCATGGAGAAACAAGTGGGAGGAAATTATAGGAATGTTCATCACACCCAACCCACTCAAAAAAATTCTAAGTATGAGATGGTGTTAAGGGATGGACGAGGAAGCAAGTCCATGCCTAAAGCCCCCCATTGCATGCCAAACATGAATGGCAAACAAGAAGGTAGGAATAAGACATCTCGGCACACACCAACTAGACATGGTTCCACAAAAGGCCAAGGGTGGTTATGTGCTAATTGTAGGGATCATCAAGACATAAGGGTTGAACATGGTCAAGTTGGCCACAATGGTGACCATAAACTCTTTAAGTCCAAAAATCCATCTTTCCAAACATATGGGAAGAATAAGCATGTGTCTTGTCAGGGGAAACTAAGACAAATGACAACTCATGGTCTTGTTGATGACTCAAAGGAGTTGAAGATGTGTAGTGTGCCACCCAGGATGAGGCAAACACATCGAGCTCAACATAAGAACAACATGTCTAATGAGACGGCTCAGGCAAAGGAGCATGAGACCCCTTGCAAGCCCACTAAGACAGGGCAAGTTGAGAGGGTGCCATCCATTGTTAAGTTGGAAAATTTGAAACCAACACCGAATGAGTTGTTTCCCCTAACAGAGGGAAGACAAGTAGTGTATGGATGGTTGGTCTGGTTTAACCCATGGACTTGGCAGTGGCTGTACACCTTTGGCACGTTGGTGGGTGCCAAAGGGCATGGATATTAGTGACGTTTGTCACTCTCTTCTTTATTAAAATAAATAAATAAATAAATATAATATTAAAAAAAAGAAGAGAAAAGAAAATTCAAAAGCCAATCATGGCTAAAAAATACGAGGTTGAAGTGTCAAGTTTTAGTTAGATTTGTGATGTGAGAACCTGGTCATAACTGATAAGCCACACTCATGTGGTGGCTGGATCCATGCTATTTACATGGCATGAGCAGGTGATTCACTGTCTATGTAGACCCTTTATTGTCCAGGCCACCCGTCCAAGGAGGCCTGCTTGTCGTAAGAGGATGGGATGCTACATGATCGATTAATCAATGACAAGCATCTCAAGTCTTATGTCCCTTCTCTTTGGGACGTGGGGTGTCAAGGGGTTCAATGTTAGGCGGCCACCATGGTGGCCGACATGCCAAGCCTCCCACACCCTAAGACATGGTATGATACCCTCGTGATAAAGCATGGCTTGAGTAGCTAGCCATAACATGGAAAGGAAATTGAGCTAGTTAAGTTTTGCTATCCTTTGTCGGGGCCTAGCATTCTATAAAAGGCTATGGGTGCATGGCTTTGTAATCAAAGCCAAAATTTGGCTAAGGAAGGTGGTGCCAAGATAAGTATTATTTTTAGGTGGTCAAGTTGAATTCAACAACTTAGTGCATAATTCTTATACACTAAGTTGTGGGGGGCATTTGTTTACCACTAAAAAATCACTCAATACCACATTGATTACTTTCAAGGAGTGGTAGTGATTTATAAGGCCAGCTCAACATTAATGATTAAAAGAGATAGCTGGGCCTTGTTGAGTTGGGTTTTTGGGCCTAAGTGGCCAAGCCCCTTCTTCCCTACATGATGGCCGACCCGTCTCCTTGGCCCCATAGCCGGACGATGCGTTTCACTCCTTGGTAGGAAATTTGGCCTCCAAAAAACTAAGTCTTGGAAACAAGGCGACACAACGGGGTGCCAAACGGCCGGGTACCAAGCCTGGTACCAAATAAGGGGGCCAAACAAGAGGGTATCAAGCCGACAAGGCAGGCTTGATACCCAAATAAGAAATTTGGCTAAGTCTTGGAAACAAGGCGACACAATGGGGTGCCAAACGGCCGGGTACTAAGCCGGGTACCAAATAGGAGGCCATATGAAGACAAGAGGGCGGCACAACGGGGTGCCAAACGACCAGGTACCAAGCCGGCAAGGAGGGTCTGGTACCAAAGTATATGAGAATTGGCTAAGTATGGAGCCATAGGGGTATCAAGCCGACAGGCTTGGCAGCCAAGCAAGGAGACAAGGTACCATGACCCCAAGGGGGGTATCAAGCCGTCCAGCAAGACTGACGTGGTGGCCAGGCAACAGGGGGCCAAGACGGACTTGATAGCCATACATCAGGGTATCAAGCCAACAAGACAAGAAATTCGACTAAGGCATGGTGGCTAGCTGAGGTGGCCACCCGACTAGGTACCAAACAACCATGTATGGCCCTTGGGGCCATATGGAGACTAAGTCCCAAGATGGGCATGATGGCCCCTAACGGGGTACCAAGCTGGCCGAGTGCAAGATACCAAGATGACATGTTAGTGCCATGACAATCAGTCTAAGACTAAGTGTGGAGACCTGGGGGTAAAGGGGCCAAATTCTCGTCCTGCCTAGGAGGGTAATATGGCCTAGCTATCAAGACGGTTCATCGAGGTGGCTATCAAGACGAGGAGCATGGAGCCATCAGGGATGTCGAGGATGTGATCAAGACTTCATCATGGAGGCTAAGGCAAATAACCTCAACCCCATCCAGTTATGACAAGGCGACAAGGCTCAACACCAACCCGACCCGGCATCGAGGCCATCAAGTACCCACCAACCCCAAGACGGGACAAGGGCCTCAAGGCGACGGTTACCAACTAGTCACCAAGGCGGCGACAAGGACCCCGAGGCGGTTTGGAGCAAGAGGCCAGCTAGCAGTTACCAAGGCGGTTACCAAGGCAATTACACCTAGTGGCTATAAATAGAAGAAACGAAGAAGAAGCGGGGGTTCCACAACCAATCATTTGACACACTATGTCAAAATTTATCTTTTCTCTGCAACTTGCCTTTTAGTTTTTCGGAGCTCTCACTGAACCTCCATAGGAGTAGAGTAACGTAGCTTGTTCCCAAAAAACCATCAAAACATCAAACACCCTCGTTCGAACATTGTTCGGAGAGGAGTGGACCGTGTAATTATCGTTGTTCAAGAAGTCAAAGGTGCATTCATTGTGTTCAAACACCAGTTTTTCCTCGCCGGAAAACAGGGACGGATAACGGGTACCCATACTACCCATAAATACCCAAAGTTTAAACCACTAAAATTTTAACAAAAGTTTAAACTTAACTTGTATTTGCTTAACAATCACAAGACACAAAATACATCCCAATCACAAATACTTGGTTTGCAAATTACACATTCATGAACAATCACAACACATAGAAATAAATCATTTCAAGTACCAAATTATCAAAAAAAAAGTTTCATTCAACACATCCCAACCCTCTCTACTAATTCACCAAACATGTCAGTGAAAGGGTAAGGACCCAAATGGAATTGAAATTGAAAGGGTAAGGGCCGAAATGGCTAATGGGTTTTGAATTGGGTTGGGCTGAATTAAATTTCTGCATTTGTATTGAATGGGTATAACGGGTACCCATATTACCCAAACGGGTATTCGCGGGTAACCTGCGGGTACCCATATTAGGAATGTACAATTCCAAGTCCCATCCGTTTATAATATTACGGGTAATATGGGTACCCGTAACCCTTAAAAAACGGGACGGGTACGGGTATACCCAAATACCCGTTTCCCGTTGCCCACCCCCACCCCTAGGCAGAGAGGTGGACGGTGGGATTTGAGTTTGAGTCCAGGAGCCGTCTGATCTGATGGCAATCAGTCGTGTACTTGTAGTGGTCAATTACGTGAAGAATCCCTTAATGTTAAGACATTGACAAATTGATTCACCGGATCTTTGCTTGGTCTTTGACAAACTTGAAAGGAAGTGTTGGACTAATATGAGAGTTAATCCTTTGTGTAAAAAAAAAAAAAAAGAGAGTTAATCCTTTCGTGGGTTTTCATTCAAATTCTATAGACTAATATTTTCACGGAAACAAAATTTAGTTAGGAGTATAGGTTAAGATTTGATGTGGTTGTGGTTAATTTTATCGAATTGGTCGGTCAATCACAATTGTTTTATAGTGGAACGGACAATTGATAATGCATCGTTTGAGGTTTGAAATCAGTATGATTGATCACAAAATAAATCGAAGAATCGTGCAGTCTTCCTCGAACTATGGAATAGCAGAAGTCGGAAGAGGGAGGTGAGGATGAAATGTAGACAATGTAGCAATAAATGAACAAGATTGAGATGGAACAGATGTCAGTGCGAATGAAGATGGAAGCATATATGAAATAGTATGATTTTCGCTTAGTCAATGCGATTTGTGATTAAGCCTTAAAATAACCGATACCATGTCACCGTTTAAACACATTGGTAAATGTTGTTCGATTAACCATAAACTAAACTATTCCCACACAATGATGGTTCAACCACAAAATCACCAATGAAATTCCAACCCTAGTTCAAGAGCTAGCATCAACCAATGACGGGGCTAATTTTAAACCAAACTCAACTGAAAACTTTCTAGAATTCATACCACACTTTTCGGACTAGGGATCCTTTTTTATACTTCAATCAGGCACTAGGCATCAACCACCAAACATTCATGTATGCAATCATATGTTGATCACTAGACTCGTGCATATGAGGATAACAATGAACGCCCCAATATATATACCGTTTCATTTGTGCTTTACAAAGTAAACAGATCGAACGGAAAAACTTTGTGCACAAGATTGAGCTATCTTCTCAAATGTGGTGATGAACAAAAGTGAGCACCGAAAACAAAGTTCCAACAATAGCAATCAAAAGCACCAATACCGTAAAAAGCATCACCAACCGCAACGTGGGACGACTGCCATTGTTACGCCGCCGCTTCAACTTCTTCTTCAAAGCTCGCAAATTCTTGCCCCTGTGCCCATTCACCCTCTCGCACAAGCCATCGTAGTACGATTCCTTCAGCTCCACTTCTTCACACAACTTCCCAAACAGCTTCCCGATCCCGGCTTCCTTCTTCTCGCCACCATTGTCATCGTCGTCATAACTCGTCAGGATTCCCCTCTGCCTCAGAAACTTGACGTCTCTCTCGCTCTCGATCAAGCTCGCGACGAGCACCACGTACGATGTAACGTGGTGCACGGTGCCATGGACGTTCGAGCACTGCTCGAGCGCGATGAGGTTCCTCAACAGCAACTCCGTGTGCTGATGGACCTCAATTGGTGGGATTTTCAGAATGCCATTAACGAACTTGACGTCGAGCAAGTTCTCTGTTTTGGCCCTCTTGATCTTGATTCCTGAACTATGCAAATCCGTCACCGAACGTAGGTGCTTGTGGGATTTGGAGGATGGGAGCCTTGGAAGCGTCGGGAGCAGACAGTGACAGATTAAATCGAGCAAATGATTTCCTTCTTGGGTGAACTTCTCCCTGTGACTCAATATGTCTCCTAATGTTTGGAATAAGAGATGAAGAAAACAAGTTAGATTTAGCATTTATCAGTCAGAGAATTTGGACTGCTCAATTTTCATTAATATTCGACAAATTAATAAGAACAGACATCACCAACGTGATAACTGGTCGAAATCCACCGATTTATTAATTAATTAATAACATTTTATATTATATTTTTGTGCAAACATATCCATATATTATCACAGCATATAACCAACATACTCTTACATGCATCCAAAATTACGTTAACTAACTGTTAAAGGGACAAAACGTGATGAAAGTGCCCCCAATTATTATATAAAAAATTTCACTTTTTTGGTAAGAAATAAAAGACAGGAAAATGACTAAAAGGAGAAAAAAAATTAGGTACGAAAAACATACTTGATTAATTATTTTATGTCTTGTTTCTAAAACAAGAAATAATCAATTTATGTAATAAGTGAGGGCTAATTTGATCATCTCCAGCCTTCTTTAACGACCAACTACCAAAAAATTTGGACGAAAAAATATGATTGTTATACATTTGTGGGGAAAATAGAGAAAAGTGTATTTGTTAAATTACAATAGTACAACAATATAAAATACTATTAAGTATTAACTCTTATAAATTCTGATTTGTTTATCTAAATCATGTAGTTAATCAAGCAATTACTCCCACAACATTTTCGCACCATCCCAACGTACCTGGAATCATGTTCTTGAAGAAACGGAAAGCGAGCTCGGCGAGAGAAAGATTGGCGCACTGTTTAGGAATCGGGACGACCTGAAACAGCCGCTGAAGGACGAACAGCGGGATCTGATTCTCCAGCAGAGCCAAATCGCACCGCAGGTCGTACAGCATCCCGGGGACCGCGAAAATCGGATCGTTACGACGTCGCAGCACCTTGGTCGAGTACTTCAAGAACAATTCGATGATGAAGCATCCGTCCAAAAACATGACCTTCACGAACTCGTCGCCGGCGGGGACATCCACGTCGTCGCCCGCGTAACAGGCGCGCGACCTCTGCTCCAGTTCCCTGAGCGCCGAAACGCAGTCGTTCAGGCTGGCCTCCAGGTCGGTCCGCCGGCCGAGGAGCGCGTGGACGTAACGCCACTTGTGATCCTCCATTGGTCTGAGGGGTTCGGCGGCCGTCGCGCCGTCGCGGTGGTAAGGGCCGATGGCGACTTTCTGCGGGGTGTAGGATTTTTTGCTCGACTCCCGGCGCGTGGGACTTACACGGCAGATAGAGTGGAGGGAGGAGACGATTTCCATCTGGTGGAGGATGGAAGTGACGAGGTTGCTGTCGGAGGCGGTCGGCTCGATTTCGATGGCCACGTGCTGCCTCCGGCCGGCGGCGGCGGCCGTGGAGTGGTCTGCCATTTTGGTTTGGGCGGTGATCAGTTAGTAGGTGAGCGGGGAGTGGTATAAATATCGGGCGCGAGTTTCTTTTGAGGAGGTTGGACAACTATTTGGTGGTATGTATTATGTAACCGAGGTTTTTGGACCGGATCATACTGAATACTGAATCGTGTATATATTGTGAGTTGGTATTTGATCCGTTAATTTTATGATTTTTATAAGTCTTGAAATAAAATAAACCGAATTGATATTTGAAATGAAACATTATATTCAAGATTGAATACAATATTGATCTGATCATTAGTTTTGAAATATCTTTTACTATTGGATTACGATTCTTATAAATTTAGTCCGATAGTTTTGTTCGGACCGAAATGGACTGTTGCACACGTCTACTTCTACGAAAGAGAATCGGAGATGGGTTGGGGGAGAAGGAACGAATAACGTGAAATTGGTGTTGTGGAGAGGGGAAGATATTTAGTGGCGGATGTTCTTTTTTGTGTGTTCATAAGTGTGACGATGGAGCTAAATGAGTGAAAAAAAAGTTTGATTGTGGGATTGTCGACAGAGGGCATAGCTTGTTGAGAAGTAAAGGTAAAGAGTATAGACTGATTGCTTCCAATGACGCCCAGGAATTTGGTAGGACTGTAGACTCGAGATTCACGGGAAGATCATTTGTCATGCAAGCTAAAAGAGGCTAGCCCTTCTGCATTTCTGCTATCTTCAGAGAAACTAAAGCCTCATATGTGGCAGTTACATCCGTATGTGATTAAAAAAGTTCAGTCATTGTTTTCCGGTGTTTGAAGTAGCGGTATACCGGAAAAATTACGGTCATTTCTATTTTGAGAGGAACTATTATGTTACCTTAGATAATATATACTAGGTGAATAAAATTATGAATGATAAATAGTGTATTCTGCTGGTTATGGCGAATGCATGTATTTTCATGATTTCATGATCTAATATGTGACTTGTGTTGCGATAAATTCGATACACGTACCATCAATCTCCATAACAATCTTAAAAAAATTTAATTATATTGGGCATTGAATGTCTACAGTACTGGAAATTTTCTCCAAACTATACTAGTTCTTAAAAAAATTCTCAAAATACAATAGTTCTTAATTCTTATAAAATTTCCCAATGTACCCATGTTATTCATTGATCGCTTAATTAGGATGACATCGATCTACTATAAAATCAGGTGGGCAAACACGATGGTTGTTAGGTTCAGCGGTGAACACTAAATCCCGGGTGGGTCAAGCGATCATTACGTTCACAAAGTTAAATCCCTTATGGGCACAACGATCATAACTATCATCATGCTTGGACAAACGCGACCATATATCTCCACGAGGATAGGGTTATGCGCAGCGGCTTTGGGTGGGTTGACTGGTCAAAGACCTGATCACTTTAGCCTTAGAGTTACTGGACTTCAAATTAGGTAAAGTCAAGTAACTAATTAGTGTTCCAGACTGTATTTCCCCGTAGCTTCTTCCATAGATTTTTCTTTTAAGTTAATTTTTAACTTGCTTTCTAGTTTAGTTATTTCTTTCCACGTTGACGTCTGTCGCCACACTTCAATTATCGGCGTCGAGAAGGTGACATCCTCATTCAAACTTCCATATTGACGCTTGTGGCCACCCTTCCAAATACTCATACTAGCTTTCCCATCTTAAATTAGTGTTGACTTTACCTCTTGCAACTGCAAGCTACAAATGACATTTTCCATATATGAGTTTAACCGAGAACAATCTTTGGTATAAGGTGAGTGACTAGTTTCTGAATAATTGCTTAATCATGTACATAAAAAGATTTGATTGCAACCTAATGGACAAATGTAATTACCGAAATTTGTTAGAATATGAAAACTCGTCGTGGTTCACTGTAAAAAATAATGAAATTGGTGAACTTTATGAATAAAAGTTCTATGTTTATTTTAAATTAGTTTTATTAGCCGACACACCGATCCTAAAATCTGGATCCACCACTGCACCCAACAAACTTTCACATATTCATTCCCTCAATTACCTCGGTGCAATAGGTAAGAACAAAGTTGTTTAATATGCTTGTATTTAAGTAGTTATGTTTTGGGTTCAAGTAGACCATATGAAATATTAGTGTTTAAGTAGTCTGTAAGATATATTGGCTAGCTATGAGTATATATTTTATTTGCAGGTATGGATAGAAAACTCCGAAAGTTCCAGCTACTTATTCGATGGCATGGTCAAATGACAAACTCTCACATCGGGATGGATTATGAAGGTGGTGAATCCAGTAGAAAGAAGATTGAGAGCAGATTCACGTGACAAAAACTCTATGACATTGACAACAACTCTATGACATTTGTGTTGAATGGGTATGAATGGGGGGTGTAGATGTGAATTTGTAAAACTTCTTATCGGGGTCCAAACACTAGTGGGGCGGTGTGATGTATGAAGAACTTATCATATCTGACAATGATAGGGTTTGATGTTGGACCTCCTAGCAGAAAATAAGCCCGAGCTTGTAGGGGTGTACAGTGACACTAACGAGGTCGTTGTAGATGGAGAGAGTTATGAGTTATGACTATCATAGAGGTGAGACATCTTCTCACCACTATGGCAGTGTTGCAGGAGGTGTGTATAGAGGTGGCAAATGGATTGGATTGGTGGATTGGTGGATTGGATTGGTGGATCCATGGATCAAATGGATTGGATCTAATGGATTGGTGGATTCATGGATTGGATCAAGTGGATTGGTGGATTATCCATGAATCCAAATGACATCCTCAACCAAGGACCAATATGTAAAATGTAAAAAGTTTAGGTACTAAAATGTCACAATGAAAAATTTTAGGTACCAAAACGTAATTTTCCAATGATATTTTCGTATAAAAAATTAAATTTTAGGTACCAAAATGTAAAAAATAAAAATTATAGGTACTAAACTGTAATTTGCCAATGATCCATGGATCCAATCCATGAATCCACCAATCCAATTGGATTTGGATCAAATGGATTGGATTTAAATGGATTGAATTAGTTGGATATTTTTAATGGATTGATGGATTGGATTGGTGAATTGGATTGAAATTGCCACCTCTATGTGTGTATGATAGGAGCGGATATTCTTGATGGTGTTGCATACATGTACTAACTACGAAGGGGATTGTTACTCGGTCATCTACAAAGCAGGTAGTTATTTAGGCGCTAGTGTGAGAGATGGGGTACCATGGGCACTGGGCAGGACATGGTTATCGTATTGTTTCTACTAAGCATGTCCCATTGTGGAGTCTAATGACGTTTGCTGACCAATATGGGAACCAGAATGGAGTGATATTGAAAATATTATTCGAGCATCTAGACTCCCTCAACATGAGCGGTCTGGATCGCTTGTGCAAGTACTGAGAGATGTGATGTTGGCGGTAACGATCACAAATTCACAATGATCCTATTTTTGAGAGGCCGGGTCCTCCATTCGAAAAGTAACAAGGAAGAAGATGAAATTTTGAGACATGTAGGTAATTGGTAACATGTAGTAAAGAATTTCTTATTGGATTTCACTGCTGGTAACTGGTAACTTATTTAATTAAAGGTTAAACGGAGACAACCTACCAAGTAGGGTTGTTAATGATCCGAACCGAGTTGAACTTTGCCATAGTTTGAGTTTGATTCGTTAAAATATTTTCAAGCTCGAGTTCGTCACGAGCTTTAATATGCAAGCTCGAGCTCGACTCGCTTATGAAAATGAAAGATCGAGCTTGAATTGACCTCAACTCACCAAATAAGTTTAACGAGCCCAAATCGAGCTCAAATAACTTTAACGAGCCTAAAATTACAATCAAACCTGTAGCAAAGTCTCTAACAAAATAAAACACAAAATTTATCCCATTTCAATGCTAAAGTCCATGAAATCCAATCCTTAATGATGTCAAACCATTTAAATGAGCTTGTTCGCGAACTTTTGAGCTGAACATGGTATGGCTCGAGTTCGGCTCGTTTAGTTAACAAGTTTGTTCGCGAGCCAACTCGATTAAGATGAATTGAATGTCGAACGAGTTTTTCTCGAATCGAACGCCGAGTCATACATGAGCCACTTTGTTCATTAACAGCTCTACTACCAAGTAACATGTTAAAAAATTTCTGGTTAGATTTCACTGCTGGTAAGTGGTAAGTGGTAACTTGTTGAATTTAAGGCTGAACACAGGACAGAAGCCCGCCTGGGGGACCAAACCGAAATGTAGAATAGCGATCCAACTACCACAGTTCCACTTCCACAGTAGCAAATTGTAATTTACCGCTTCCTCTTTCGTTCTTTCTTCCACTCGTCACTCTTTTTTATATTCCCAACTCGCCTGTCTTCTTCACTCACTCTACCGTGGGCTGATTCCAAAGTAGAAAAATCCAAACAACTCTCTCCCGTCACTCGGAATCATCAAAAGTTCATAACAAAGCATTTCCCCTCCGTAACTGCTCTCTCCGATCTCCGCCTTCCATGTTCTGCGATCTTTGGAAACCCTAGAGCGCGCGAACTGTTAGCAATGGCGTTCTGGTGGCCGTTGATTGTACTAGCTCTCGCTTACGGCCTCTGCCGCTTTCTGTTCATGCTCATCCCCGTCAATGTGCCTTCGATCGACGTCGACGTCTCCGACGGTAAATCGTTTCGTGATTCGTCGACATTATCGCAGTTCCGAGTTGTAGCATTTCCCCAATTTCTACTTGAAAGGGCGAGTATACTTGTCCACTCTACTGTGTTGTTGACTCGAGCTATGGCGTTTGTTTCTGCTGTTCAGTTACGGAAGGGAATCAGGCGCAGGAGAACAGCTTCATTTACGTAAGTTCTTCTGGATTCAGCTCTTGGTAGTTCCTTACTATCGCTTACTTGATTTAGACAATTTCGATTCATTTCTTCGCGTTGATTTCAAACTGTCCTGTGGAGAACTGAGTATCTCTCTTCCGGAGATCTAGCGAGAATCACTGGTTCCGGTTTCTCTAAATTGTGTGATTCTCTGAAAATGTATGCGGACTGGAATTGAACGGATGGCTCGTTCGTGGAGTAAACTAAGCTGAAACGGTTGGACTGAAGTTCTAGTGCCTTAGGGATAGATTGAAGCCTCCCGTTCTTTAACTGGTTACTCGGCGATTTTGATTGTCATTGTGGTGTTTGCTTTAGCTATTGATTGAAATAGAATGTGTTTATCTTAAGCGAACTGGATTGGAACGGCTGGAATCTTTTGAGTCGAGCTGTTGTGTTTTTGTTAATTGAAGCTTGCGTTCATGAACTCGTTGGTGATTTTATGGTTCTAAGGTTCTATATGCTGTAGCTGTAAATTGAAGCTTTCTTTCGCTAACTGGTTTACTATCGTTGGGGTGTGGTACATGCTTCAGATACCGCCTAGAGGAAGGACGCAGCAGTCAGAAACAAAAGTTCAGTGCTATGAACCGGCTACCATGAAATACTTGGGATACTTCCCTGCCTTGTCGCCTTCTGAGGTAAATTGCTGTTTGGAGCGAGTTATCAGATCTTAGAAACTTTCTGTTTGGTTCTCCAAATTCGGCTGAGTGCTTTGCTATCTGCTACAAGGTCGAGGAACGAGTTGCTCTGGCTAAGAAGGCTCAGACAGTGTGGGCAAAAAGCAGCTTTAAGCAACGACGCCAGTTTCTGAGGATTCTTCTGAAATACATTCTCGAACACCAACAGCTCATTTGCGAGTAAAAATACTCTCAGCATGACCTTTTTCTCCATTGAACATGGATTTTTTTTATGCAAAGTCATTTGCAATCAATCTTATGCAGTATTTTTATAATGAATTATGCCAAAAACAAAATCTAGGACTGCTATGGTAGATAGGACAGATGAGAGACGTATGTGTGGTTGTTTCTGAAAGAACAACTGCCATGAGCCCATGAGATTAAAGAAGATGGTTAGAACACCAATATGTGGCTGCGTCTGATCGCAGCTAGTAGTCTACTCAAATGAATTATGTTCTTTACCATTGTGTTGTCTGTACGGTTGTCTATATATTAGTCTGGATTGTGATTTATGATATTTTGATCAGAGTTTCTTCTCGTGATACTGGAAAGACAATGGTCGATGCATCTTTAGGAGAAATAATGACCACATGTGAGAAGATTACTTGGCTACTCTCAGAGGGTGAGCGGTGGCTAAAGCCTGAATACAGGTTCTTAATGACATCCTGTTCGCTGACTTCAATTTACTAAAAGATCCCTATCCTAAGTTTGCTGTAAATACCGATTTCTTTCTGTCTAAACTATTCTTAAACACACAGATCATCTGGGAGATCAATGATTCACAAGAAAGCTAAGGTTGAGTTCCACCCCCTTGGCGTTATTGGTGCCATTGTTTCGTGGAACTACCCCTTTCACAATGTATTTAACCCAATGCTGGCAGCAGTCTTTTCAGGCAATGGCATTGTGATTAAGGTGATGTTATTTCCGCGCTGGCTTTTCTCTTTCAACTATATTTGTGCTAGAAAAAACAATATCGTTAAGAGGCTTCTTTGTTGTTAAATCACAGTTGATTCTTTGCTTGAAAATGTAGGTCTCGGAACATGCAAGCTGGTCAGGCTGTTTCTACTTCAGGATAATCCAAGCTGCTCTTACTGCTGTTGGTGCTCCTGATAATCTGGTTGACGTAATAACAGGGTATATTACATGCTTTGTGCTCATGCCACTCGTTTAAATTATTCGTCATGTTCAAGAAGCGGTTTGCTCAATCTGGTCTGTGGATTGTAGGTTTGCTGAAACAGGAGAAGCCTTGGTGTCTTCAGTTGATAAAGTCATATTTGTTGGATCTCCTGGTGTTGGTAAGAAGGTAAGTTTCCGTTATTGCTGATTCATAACCGTAGCTGCTAAAAAGGCTTACCAGGCACCTCTCGTTTCACCTGTTGAATGTTCCATTCTCGTTTGCTCACTTGCTTCCCTTATACTCAATGATGTAAATGTGGAATGATTGAAAAACCTTCGAAAACCATTTGAAGACTACGAAAATCCTAGAAACCATGTATAAACTTCCTGGAGACTTGCTAATTAGATGCGTTTTGGGTAACAAAGAGAGCTTCCAAGTAGTGTAATGTGCAAAGAAGAAAGACTTAGACAATCATATCTTAATGTGGAGCTAATTACACATCTGGTGTTGATTTCCAATTAGTTGCTTTAGTTGGCCTTGCCCCTTCTCTTAATAGTCTAAGCAATTCTGTGTGCCTTTCACTGCCTCAACTTCGCTCACAGCTGGTGTATTTACCACATATGATTGCAGATAATGAGAAATGCGGCCAAAAATCTTGTCCCGGTTACGCTTGAGCTCGGAGGAAAGGATGCATTCATTGTGTGTGAAGATGTGGATGTGCCTCATGTAAGTATATCCTTCTCTTATGTATCCATCTCCTCCACAAGGTTTGAGTAAATGCATTCTCATTCCTCTTCGCCCAATCCTAGGTCGCACAAGTGGCTGTTAGGGCTGCCCTCCAATCATCCGGACAGAACTGTGCTGGGGCCGAGAGGTTTTATGTTCACAGAGACGTATATGCTTCATTTGTCACCCAAGTTTCCCAGATTGTAAAATCTGTTTCCGCCGTATGTAATTGTTATTTTGCCAAAAGATTCCATCACACAGACATTCTTCAATTCTTGAATCGTCTCTCTCAATCTACTTCTTACCATTGTTGAAGGGCCCGCCACTTACTGGAAGGTATGACATGGGAGCGCTATGCATGCAAGAGCATTCTGAGAGGCTTCAGAACCTCGTAAACGATGCTCTGGAAAAAGGTGCAGAAATCGTTGCTAGAGGGAGTTTCGGTCACCTTGGCGAAGGTGCTGTCGATCAGTTCTTCCCCCCAACGGTGATCGTAAATGTCGACCACACCATGAAGTTAATGCAAGAGGAGGTATGATTCATCCTCCCTAACATAAGCCCACATTGAGATGACAAACTGGTCAGCTTCGTTCATAATGGGTGGTGGATCAGTAGGTTAGTTAATCATGGATAGTGGGACCGATCAGACCAGTCGGCTCATGATAGCTAGCTGGTTATTTTAACGGGTTGGGTTTAGGACGGGTTCACCAGTTGGGTAAAACAAAACTGCCACTCTGCTTCCGCAGCCAGACTCCACTTGTCAAAGGCAATTTCGCAGATAACTCTATATAGGCTAGTTAATCATGGATAGTGGACCAATCAGACGGGTTGGCTCATGATAGCTAGCCGGTTATTTCAACGGGTTGAGTTCAGGATGGATTCACCAGTTGGGTATAATAAAAGCTGCCACTCTGCTTCCGCAGCCCGAGTGCTCTTGTCAAAGGCAGTTTAACAGATAACTCTTATTTTTGGCGCAGGCGTTTGGACCGATCCTGCCGATCATGAAGTTCAGCACTGACGAAGAGGCGATCAAGCTTGCGAACGACTCGAGATACGGGCTTGGTTGCGCTGTGTTCTCGGGCAGTCAGCGACGCGCCAGGGAGATAGCTTCAAAGATACACACTGGAGTCGCGGCTGTCAATGACTTCGCTTCCTCCTACATGTGCCAGGCAATACTTTCTCTCGTATTCACTTGATTTTTGCACGAGCTCCTAAAATCAATAAACTGATGCATTGTCTCCATTTCAGTCCTTGCCGTTCGGCGGTGTGAAAGACAGTGGATTCGGACGATTTGCCGGAATCGAAGGGTTGCGAGCCTGCTGCCTGGTGAAGTCGGTTGTTGAGGATAGATGGTGGCCGTACGTTAAAACCAAGATACCCAAGCCAATTCAGGTACCCACTTCAACCACGGGTTAAGCTAAAGGCTGTGCATGTGTCTCAGTTTTCTGGAGTAATTCGAATCACAATATAACTATCATGCTTTTTTCGCCATGGAAATTGCAGTATCCAGTTTCGGAGGGTGGTTTCGAGTTCCAGGAGTCGCTTGTGGAAGCATTATATGGGCTGAACATATGGGATCGTCTGCAGGCGCTGGTTACTGTTCTCAAGGCTCTATCCGAGCAAAACTCCAGCAGTGGCACCAGCAAACGAAGTGATTGAGGTGAGTGTGTTGTCAACATGGCTTGAAAAGCTTGACCGCCTGTTGTACTAACTGCTACTTCGGAACATGTAAGCAAAAAAATTTCTTCCAAAGCTAATCCAATGTACACCGCGGGGTTATGATGTCGTTTGTTTTTGTCTGGCGCGATGAACCAATTGTCGATATTGGGCCGCACATATGGGTTGTTTTCTGGGCTGGGTTCGTGTGTTAAATGGGCGTAGCAGAATATTGAAACAGGCAAATACACTTGTGTAGCCAAAACCCAAAATTTTGAAGGTTTTGTCAAATATAGTCACTTTTAGCGAAATACTAAGGGCTAATACCACCGGAAATACCATCCTTTAACGAAAGTGTCATTAATATTACATCGTTTTCGATATGCCATTTGTATACTAAAATGTTTTATCCGTTAGTTGGGCTGTTAAACATAACTGGGCGACTTTTCAACGCCCAGTCAACGCTTAATAGGATCCTACATGGCTCGCTGACGTGGCTTATTTAATGGAATGTAAAAAAAAATTAAAAAGTAAAAACAATTCTCACCTCCCAGTCTCCCACTGCATATCCTTCCGCCAAACAAATGACTTCCCCTTCCTTCATCTCCCTCATCCTCTCCTCCCAACCTCCCCTCTCTCTCATCGCCCTCCGTCCTCCTCCCCACCTCCACAACCGCCACCACCACCACCACCTCCTCCTTCCTCCCCCACCTCAACCTTCTTTCCCCGCCTTCGACCCCACCGCCCGCCGCTGGCACCGATTCGACCTCTCCTTCCTCCCCTTCCGCTCCCTCCACCCAGTCGCTTCCGCCGCCCTGTACCTGCCCGGCGCTTCCGCCGCCGCTCCCTCCACCCCGTCGCTTCCGCCGCCGCCCTGTACCTGCTCCGATTCATGGGTAACTTTCGCTTCCAATCTCCCTGCGAAACCTAGGAGCCCTGTTTTGATCTCCGGCTCGGTTTTTGCCCTGTGCGATGTTGGCTCCCCATGGCGATCTCAGTGGAAATTGTTCACATGTACTTTGAATTTGAATAATTCGGTTCCAGTTCATGAGCAATTGGGTGTTGGTTGTGGGAGTGAGAGTGGGGTGTTCTCTTCGTGTTCCTCGAATCATAACAACTGGGCTTGCTTGGAGAAGCATGAATGGGCGGATATATTCGATCTCATCAAGCGGCCTCGTTTGGTGCGTGGGGATGGGAACAAGGTGCTGTTGATTGGTGGGTTGAAGTCGACCTTCTCGTTGAACCCGTCTTGCTCGACGATGCTGATACTTAGGCTGGATTTGGAGAAGTTGGAGTGGGAGGAAGTTGGGAATTATTGTGGAAGTGGGAATGAAGGGGAAGGAGAAGGGGCGGCGTGGAGATGGATCGATGAAGTGCCTGGTGGTGGAAAGTTTGGTCGTCGGAGGGCGAATTCACGTAGGGGGGTTAAAATTATTTTAATTTTGTAATATAATAATAAATAAATAATAAATAATATTTTCAAATTTTTTATTCTTTTTTTTTTCCAACGTGGCATCCACTTGTCGCTTATGTGGACACAATGTTGGCCACCATCAGGTCAACCGTCAAGTCTAACGGTCAACAGAAAATTGCGTAACACAAATGACGCAGATCCCTAATAGGTTGGAATATTTTTGTGTTTATTGAAAGCATGTAATATAAATAGCACTTTCGTTAAAGAATGGTATTTCCAGTGGTATTACCCCAAATACTAAAATAGTCACTTTCGTCCAATTATTTGATGGTGTGAGTTAACGTGTTGACTAGAGTAATGGATCGTTTGTTCTAGCGATTTTTGTCTTGTACATATTACCCACGTGGATTTAACCAAAAAATACTAAATCAAAAACAATTAAAGAGTTTTTTAGGAGTCCACAGTCCCTTCTCACTTTCCCATTCTCCCTATTACGCTTAAGTGCTCTTCTTCTATGACAAATCCTCCCACCACTAAGACCACAACTATCGTTGCCTTCTGTCCAAAATCATCTCTGCCTTCGGCACCATCATTCGTTTCTGCATGCCTCCACCAGCTCCAGCTCTAGCTCTGACTTCACTGTCACACCATCTTTAAGCATCCCCACCCTCTACTCTCTAATCCCCGATTTTGAGATTCGTCGTAGATAAGGGGACCAGTGCAGACGAATAAGAACGACGAGTCCAAAAGCAACAGAAGATGGAGCAATTGCAGACGAGTTGGGAAGAAGTCATCGTCGGCAAAAATCGCTTCTATTTGCCCACGATTACTCGTCTTCTTATTCTCTCCCCCCCCCCCACTGACGAATCTGGAGTTGCTCTTTGTGCAATCCACCGAGATTTGGGTTTGGGGGTCTTCTTGGTCGACTGAAATAGAAAAGAAGGGTTCTGGGTTCTGAGATTTATTTTTGTGGGTTTGGGTGTCTTCCTGATCTGTCTGTTGTAGAAGATCTCGCCTACGGAGGAATCAAGCCACGATGGGGACTCAGGTAGAAGTGGACGGTCGAGGCGGGTTGCTGCTATTGGTTGGAAGATTGGGGAGAGGGCCGCACCCTCCTCCTCCGCCAATCTCCGATGTCGATCCCCTCCTCGCGCCTCCCCTCGATTTCGACGACTTCCTTGATCCTCTCTTTTTCCCTTCCGGGACAGATTCCTGGAAGTAGATGAAGGTAAATCCGACGACGAGGAGCCTAGATGAACTACTGTTTCTATGGAGGAGGAAAGATGAAGAGTTTCACAGAGGTTAGGGTTGGGCAACTGCCATTGAAGGAGTGGAGCTCTGGTTATGATATATCATCACCAATTGAGATACAAAGCTCGGGTCCACGATTTAGGTAGGATTAAAAAAAAATTATAATTATAAATGTCGTGTCATCCACCTGTCACCGGAGGATGAGGTAGAAATGAAAGAGAGGATGACTTGGCAGCCAGGTAAGCGTTCCATTAATTTGACTAACAATGTCACTAACGCCATTAAAGTATATAATGGAAACCCCTTGTAGAAGGTATAAATGACGTGCCATCCACTTGTCATCGGAGGCCGAGGTGGAAACGAAAGAGAGGGTGAGTTGGCAGCTAGGTAAGTGTTCCATTACTTTGACTAATGGTGTCACTGCGTTCCATTAATTTGAGGTATTATTCATAGAATTTGGGTGTTGATTGTTCATATCTCAATTGTGGGACAATTGACCTAGAAGAAGAAAAATCCCTTGTAGCCCACAATTTGGGTAACCTTCCCTAGGGCAATTTGAGTAATTCCTCATTCACCGAATTAGTGTCATGATATCGTATTGATTGGTTACTTTTCGTCATTCCGAACTAAAGTTCTAGGGATTTGTTTTGCAAACCTTGGTTGATTGATTAAGAGGTCTAGGGGGTTCTCTAGCTAATAGTGACAATCCTTAATCGATCAATTGAGAGGTTTAAGGGGGTTACCTAGCTATTTGAAAACACCTCACGGTTTATGATCATCCCTATCACACTAGATTTTCATTCATTGTATCTTGACACGAGACTATGCGGAGCAATGTTCGAGTGATGCTTTTTCAAAAATCGAACTCAACAAAGTTTACTTGCTTGCTTGTTTTAATTCTAGTTTCATTAGCTTTAAACATAATCCGATCGTTAGATAACGTGTTAACAATTGAAGTAAGGGTATATTGACCGTCCGGGTTGATATTGAAATACTTACCCTATCCTACACCCTATATAGGTTGCATTTTACCTATAATTGGGATTAAGAGTAGTGATAGCATGAGTCACCCATCAGCTTAACCACCCACTTGTGCTAATCCGGAGTAGAGACCTTTTGGTCTAGCAAGTACTTGAGGTAGATGCAAAAATTCTGGCCTATTAGGTAGGGCCTCCAGACCTGCATCGCCGTGCTAATAACAGACATCTCCTTCTGATATGTCGACCATGTCTCCTTGGCCAGTAATAGTGTGTGAATCATGAATGCAATAGGGCGCCCTTACTATGATAACACTACTCCAATACACTTTCCTGATGCATCTGTCTCGATATCAAAAAGTTGGGAGAAATCATGAAGAGACAGCCCCATGGTCGTGGTTAATGGGGGTCTTCAGGTCACAGAAGGCCTTCTCGGCCTTAGGGTTCTAGTTGAACCCTCACTTCTTCAATAACTTTGTCAACTGTCCTGCTATCGAGCTATATACCTATGCAAATTTTCAGTAGTACCCGATCAGCCTCAGGAATCCTCGCAGCTTCGTTATTGTCCTCGGAACTGACACGTCCACCATGGCCCGTCTCTAGGACGGGTCCACTCTCACGCCATTTGCCGAAATAATATGCCTTAGATAATCCAATTCCTGCACACCGGAGGCATACTTTGATGCCTTCACAAAGAATTGGTGCTCCTGCAATATCTCAAATACTTGCAGCAAGTGGACCAAATGCATTGTAAAAAAAAGGTGGACAAATTCTCCTCCCATGATGGACTATAAATAGAATGTCATCAAAGAATACTAGTACAAACCTGCGGAGCAGAGGTCTAACTATGTCATTATAGAGACCAAATGGCATGACGAGATACTCATAGTGGTCATTGTGAGTTCTAGAAGCCATCTTATGAATATCTTCCTCATGCACCCAGATCTGATGGTATCTCGCCCTCAGGTCTAGCTTTGTGAAGTATCGGGCTCCCTTAAACTCATCTAGCATGTCATCCACCGTGGGAATTGGAAATAAGGCTTTAACCGTAGCCGTGTTCAGTTCCCGATAATCCATGAAAAATCGCCACGATCCGTCCTTCTTCTCACCAACAAAACCGGCAATGAAAAAAGATTGGAGCTCGATCGAACTAGTTATGCCGACATCATCTCTTCTACCTGTTGCTCGATCTCTGCCTTTTGAGAGTAGGCGTAGATGTAGGGGATCACACTTATTGGCTTTTCCTCTTCTCTCAGTTTGATAAAATGATCTAGTGTTGTGGAGGCAGATCCCCCGATTTTTAAATTAACCTGACATACCTGTCAAGCAGGCTCTGGAGATCAGGCAGCTCTACAGCACTCTCCATCGCAGTGTTATTTAGTATTCGCGATTATTTTAGTGTAGCCCATAAACTCCGGGCCTTCCTCGCTCTTTGACAACTCGCAAGCCCCCATCCAACCCAAGTCCGACTTTCCAATTTCTCCAACTTAATTGTCTGTCACTCCACCTCTTTTTATTTACAGAACACCGAAAATGCGAACACTCTCGTTAGTCGTCCCTTGGCCTCCAAGAATACTAATACGTTACAAAATAGTTTGGGATAACAAATTCATTTTAAATTGGGATTGAATGTATAGTATAATTTGGTATTCAAGACATCTGTAATTGGTACCAGAATATCGGTATCATAATCAATTTCACTCCAATTTCTTGTTGGCCTATTGGAGTTTTCTTACTCCCAACTCTGTTTTGGTTTATTTTGACTTTAGTTGCCCATTTTGTTACCGTTGAAGCATGAATTGTTCATAGTTAGTAAAATACAGTACACGTAAGTTAAATATAAAATACGTATAGATATTTTACTTCATATCTAAACTAATGTTACGTTTAATAGTACGTCAACAGTTATAAATATATAAAAATAATTACTTTGAAAATAATTACATATATAAATAACAATTTAATTAATTAAATACGAATATTAAACGTGTTATACAAATTTTATACGTGTTTAGTCTAACCCGTAAAACCTGGATTGGAGTCCGCTGTCAATACTTGTGCCCGTTTTTGGCCCATCAACGAAATAGTTGGAATTAGAATTATTTTGTTGTCTGAGTCTAAACCCTCCGCTGTTCTTGTTGGATAAAAGATTTTGCTTGGGCCTATGAGCCCACGTTAAGGCATTAAGCATGCTTATATATATATAATAAATAAAATAGAAATAGAAGTACGGACAGGACATTGATTTTGCTCCAGTCGATCTTCCCGCCAAAACTAACAGAACAATCCAGTCCCCCTCTCACGCTTCCTCGCCCATCCACATTTCTCGTTCTCCCATCGCGAGAACCAAATCCACGCGCCGGCGCACTCTAACGACTTCTTCACGCGCCCTTCTTTCTCGCTCTTCTGCAAGAAACCCAACCCAACGCGCCGGCCTCACGCATCACTGCCAGCCTCGCCTACAAATACCCAAACACCTTTAACTGGCTGACTTTCGCTACTTCCATTTTTCTCTGCGATTTCTCTCTTCACCTTGGTTTCCAGCTATCCTCCGTTCCGTACTTCCCCCTTTCCCCTGCCGATTCCGTCGCCGGCGACTCCTACCTCAGGTAGTTAGTCTCTCTGCGAACTCCCCTGCCGTCGGAATATAGTATTTGCACGTGATTCTTGCTTAATTCTTGTAATTTTGATCTCTGATTTGTTTCCAGCCATCCTCCGTTCCGTATTTCCCCTTTTCTCGAGGCAATCCCGGCACCGGCGACTCCTACCTCAGGTAGTTATGCTCTGTATGAACTCTCCGCCGTCGGAATATAGTAATTATACTGCGATTCTTGCTTCATTCCTGGAATTCTGATCCCCGATTTACTTTCTTTGTCAGTCGATTTCAGTAATGGCTCAAGATATGGACGTTAAAGTAGCGCTGAAGATCGTCGAGAATCGAAACGAGAAGGTGCGAGCAATAAACCGGGAGATCGTCGAAGTCACGTGGGCGGCCGAATTCGGGACGGAAGCTCTGGCTCTGGGATCAGCGGAGGAGAAGCTCGCAAATCTCAGCGCGAGCAAGAATCTGGCCGTCGGAGATCTGGAAGAGGCCAAGAAAAGGCGTGACGAGCTGCTGCTGACGACTCTGTCGCCGAAGATCGGCGATTGTGCTGTCGACGCGGAAAAAGAAGTGCAGGCTCGAGCCGACGAGGTGGCGCGGATCGAGGCGGAGATCGGCGAGGCCATAGCGGAGAGGGAAAAAGCCGCGGAAGATCTGAGGCTTGTACAGGTGAGGCTCTCCTCCCTCCACAAGAAGAAGTATCTGGCGGTTGATGATCTGAGAAAGGCAGCGGAAAAGCACAAGGAATTGGTCATCGCCAACGCGAAAAAGGGGGTGCCGGCTGAACCTCCTTCCCCTCCTTCCGCGGGCAGCGTCTTTGTGGGCGATCAGCAGCAGCAGCCAAGCGGTGATGGCCTGAGCAGCTCGGACAACGAAACAGAGCCCTACGCTCTGGCTGTCGACAGTGGTGTGTACATTGAAGCCGACGGCTTGACTAATCTCGACAAGGTCGCTGATCATGAGTACCTGGGGTATGAATCGGTCGGTGCTTCCAATTCGGCCAGTTTGGATGATGAAGATGATCACGAGGATGAAGAGGGTGATGATGGCGCTGATCAGCATTAGGAGAAAGCAGCGACTGCCGCCAGCAAAGTGAATCATTGGCTAAATTTAGTAGCTTCCAATTCGGCCAGTTTGGGTATCTCTGTATATCTTTAGTAGCTTGATCTCGATCAAAAATTGTACAGCAACAGTTTTGCTTACTGAGTTTAATGGAAACGCAGAGCTGGAACTTTTCGATCTGTAACGTTTGGATTGCATCTAATTGGTCATTGCTATAGCCTTAGCCATTTTATTCTCCACTTGTTGCTAAGACCAGAAAGTCTTTGTTGCTGCTACTGCAATCCTGATTGGACCAAGTCTTTGTTTTTCTTTCAATTTAGTCAGTGGATCGCTTTCAAAAGTGAGGAACTCAAGATTTAGTTACAAGTGAAGTACAACGACTAGTACTAACAAGTAACGAAAGAGTATGCAAATCAATTGCCGTTGTAAAAAATAGAGTTGGATCTTTTCTATATATCCCTCTATAATATATAGCAGTTCTTCAAGAAGATTTTCAGCATTTCAAATTTCTTGCACTCTTCTTAATTATAGCTAGGGGTAAATTTGTAAGTTCAACTTAGAACTTAAATATCTTCTTACGATAAAAAAATGTCATTACAAAGACTTAAACTCGAGTCCTTCAGATTGATAGTCAATATCCCTAACCAACTGGACGACAACAATGTTTATATATTTTTTGAATTAAAGAGAGAAAATACTAAAATATCTCAAAATCATAGGACTATCCACCGCAACAATCAATCATCGAATTAATTAATAACTGTAATTATTTACAAAGTGAATCATCATGATATACCTAGCTTTATGAATCAACTAAGTGAGTTCCTCTAATCACACAATTATCATTGGCTAAATTTAACAAACAATGGTATGTGTATATACATTGAAAATTCTATAGTACGCTCGATGGATTGAGGGTTATTGCATCTCCTTAGTTAAATAACATTATCTAGACCATAGATTAACTGAATTGCTATTTATAGCCCTAACTTTTTCTTATTTGTAGCCCTAAGAGAATATAATTACTATTTTACCCTTCCTTCCTTTTAAAATATTGAACATGTTACAACTCCAACCAAACACTCCCTTCCCTCCCAATTCAACTGTCGCCGGATTCCTCCCAAATATTCTTGCCGGCGACGACGACCTCTCGCCGGCGACAACGACCTCTCGCCGGAGACGTGACTCGCCCTTTCTCTCCCGTCGTCGGTTTCCTCTCAAATACGACGACCACCTCTCCCCGGAGACGACGACCTCTCGCCGGTGACGAAATCAGAGCGCTTCGCGGAGGTAATTTTTTATTTTTGCACGAAGGAGGACGTCGCCCTCGCCGGCGGCGGTCAAACGACGTTTTATTTATTTATTTATTTAATTTAGGTTAATTATCTATTTTAATTATTATGATTTAATGTAGGTTAATTATATACTTTAAATTAATTTAAAAATTACTTTAATTATCTCCTTTAATTATGTAGGTTAATTATATGCTTTAATTATTATGATTTAATGTATATTAATTACTCTAATTATCTGCTTAAATTATGTAGGTTAATTATCTGCTTTAAATATGTTTATATTTAATATATACGAAAATTAAGTCGGTTAATGTTTTCATTTAATTGAAATTAGATAGGAAAGGTAAATTTTAATTGATAAAATATAAGAAAGTTTAATAATTTAAATATAGAATTTTATTTAATAGAAAGTATTAATTGTTGTACGAACCTTAAATTGCAATTGACAATTTAAGCAAGAAAATTAAGTTAGAATTCATCGTGAAATACATTACAATTTTGAACATTATATTGTGATGGGAATTTTATTTTACTTGAAATTATATACGAATGTTAAATTATAATAGACAATTTAAGCAAGAAAATTAAATTAGAATTTATTGTGAAATACATTATAATTTTGAATATTATATTGTGATGATAATTTTATTGTAATTGAAATTATATACGAATGTTAAATTATAATAGAGAAATATACGAACCTTGAACATTTGAATATAAAAATTTATTATATGAGAACTAACAATTATCATATGAACATTGCTAATATGAACATTGCTAATAACTATTACATGATGATAATAATCTGACAATAATTTTAATTCAAATTTTAATAGGTAGAAAATGGTGGATACAAGAGGAAAGAAGAAGATGAAGGAGGTAGAGCCGTCGAGGGTGACCAACCGTATAGTATTGAGGTCGCGTCGTGAGGAAGCCGAGAATGAGCGTCGACGTGCTAGACTTGTGGAGAATCCTTCTCTCCCGCCTCCCGTGCCTTTTGACTTAGATAGAGCTTTTGAGGGAGTGGATGAGTATGATGACAGTGATGACAATTATGATGACTTCCCGGATGTAAATGATGCTTTCTTCGAGAGCAACCATCCGAGTGCAGGTGGTTCTAGTGGACCTAGATTAGAGCCCGAGGCTCCTTTTGTGTCTTCTTCGTCCTCTCAGTTTGTTCATGTTAGACGTGGGCCTCGTGGTCGTTTTGAGTCATCACGACCACGATTCGGAGGAGGGCAGCACTAATAAGAGGAAGAAGGCGAGAGAAGCTGATTCGTGGATTCTCGACAGGAGTGGGCCGGGGGGGGGGGGGGGCCTATCGATCATAGCCTGATTCCTAGTTTTGGAGGTCATGTGGCTTATCGATTATGGGATGATGGTTTAGGGGCTCGCCGAATGGATTCATTCAAGTTGTCGACTAGAGCATAGGCAGTCAATTATTTGAAAGATTACAAATTTCAGAGTGAGGGTGCTGCAGCATTGGTTGAGAGGACAGGGTTGCGCAAGTTGTTGGACTGCTCGATCCAGCACTTGGACGGACCTTTACTTGTGGCATTTGTGGAGAGGTGGCAGCCTGACACCAACACCTTTCACATGCCTTTTGGAGAGATGACCATCACGCTCCACGACGTTGCAGTGTTGCTTGGGATTCCAGTCGGTGGAGATATGGTTGTAGGGAATGAGAGTGTGAAAGCACAGTTGTGTGAGATGCTGAGGGTCGAACAATTGAATGAACGATCCAAGCCTTCGCTTAAGAGTGGGGGTTTGGTGTGTGTTGAAGCTATGCAGCAGGTTGGGAGGTTTCGGGAAAGAGATTCTGAGGTACGGATGTTCTTGACCTGTTTGTTGGGGACCACCTTGTTTGTGGACAGGAGTGGGGATCGGGAGCAGGTTTGGCCTCTCCAGTTCTTGGGGGACACTAGACGGGTGAGGAAATATTCTTGGGGGTCTGCTATACTCGCCTATTTGTATAGGCAACTCGGCATGGCGTCTCGAGCGGATTGCAAAGGCATGGGTGGCTGTTTGACCCTCCTTCAGAGCTGGATCTACGAGTACTTTCCGTATTTACGAGATCAGAAGTTGGGGACACGTGGATTGGTGTGCGGGGAACCTTTTGCTAAGAAGTGGGAGGGGGTGAGATTTGGAGGTGGGGCACAGTTGATGAATGAGAGGTTGGATCACTATCGTCGAGTACTGGATAATATGACAGATGAGTTCGTTTTTTGGTGCCCATTCGGCCTCAGACCTGGTGAGATAGTCTCTCGTTCATTGTACTCTGGTGTCATTCGGTGCATGAGTTTTGAGGAGATGTACGATCCCTCGCGTTGCCTCCGTCAGTTTGGGTACGTACAGACCATCCCCTCAGATCCGCTTCCTCCAGTTGATGTTTGCCGATCTGCGAATGTCAAGATGTACTCCTTGTCCTACGGTCCCGGCTTGAGTGAGCTTTGGAAGGCCCCTCACTGCCACTCGGTGCAGTTGGATTCGATATCGAGACCTGTTCAAAAACCGGAAGATACCGACGATGGGTATCTACAGTGGTATATGGGACGTACCCACCCGAGGATCGTCTGCCCCAGTGCTGCTGACCAGGAGATACACCACCATCTTAGTCATGATAAGGTAAGTTTAATTATATTATTGATATTGCTATTCTGTACAAGCTTAAATATTGCATTAGTTATCGAATAACATACTAACATTTACATTTTTATACAGTTAGCTGTGAAGCTCGTCCGAGAGTTTCGCACTGTGATTGAGCACCCTTATGATGACCACCTTTATCTTCTTCTTGGATTACAAGGGTTGCTTAGAGAGTACGACGAGGCGACTCCATACCAGCCTCCACCTCAGTACTAGTGTTGTTCATGTAGTTTGAGTACTATGTAGTTTATTTGTATTTTGAGAACTATGTCGTTAATTTGGTGTTTGAGAACTATGTCGTTTATTTCTAGTTTGAGAACTAAATCGTTTATTTGTTGTTGGAGGACTATGTCGTTTATTTGTAGTTTGAGAACTATGTTGTTTATTTGTTGTTTGAGTACTAGTGTCATTCATTTGATACTTTGTTTGTATGTTTAGAACTATGGTAGTTTTAATTTAAAACTATGTTTACCAAAGACTACAAATATAAAGATAAGATGAGTTACAAAATACTCCTTATTTACAACTATTGTCGTTATATACCAATACTACTACAAATATCTCCTACTAGTCATGATGACCCCCCAAGTGCGAAGTAAAGATCTCGCTCGTCCTTGAACATCTGCTCCCACCCTTGAGTACTCATTTTGTCACGGAAATGGGTCCACAGGAAGGTGAATGGAGGCATTGGTATTGAATCCTCCTCAAAGTCAAGGCGCACCCAATGATTGCCGGTGTTACACAACACCAACACATTGCTAGGGCGAGCTACCCCTGGCTTGGCTATCATAGGTAAAAAGGTTTGTCCAAATGGAACACGTCTCCTCACCCCATCTTTGGTTTCGTCTATTTGACTGTAGAGGATTATGGCCTAGTTAAATAATGTTGCAACTACGGCGAGATCCGACTCAGTCATCCAATGATCCATTGTAGTACCCTCTGGCTTGTTCCACTGTAATCGTGTAAGAGCAAGACCCACATCTTCATATGCGTACTCACATTGTTGGATCGACATGACTTCATCTATAATAGCCTTTCTCACCCACAAGTGGTGATCCTCATCTCCATGAAGTGCATGTGAAAGAGCTCGAAATCCGCAATGTCCATCAGGAGCAGGGTCCCACCAACCAAGACATCGATCTCTGACACTTTCTGGGATGAAGCGAAAGTAAGGAAAAACATTCACTCCATCAATCTTGGTCATGGGATCCCTTTTCGGGCCACCTGTGGATGTAGTTTTTTTAGTTATCTTATTGGCATATTAAACATACTTATTGAATATCAATGAATTTAGCAAAATAACTCAAATTATTCAATACAAACCTGTAACATCTGAGGTTGTTGATTTTCTCTTTTTGTGGATGGTAGCATCCTTCGGGGCACCTGTTAGTGAAAATTTTGTTGTAATTAACTTATTGGCATATTAAACATACTTATTGAATATCAATGAATTTAACAAAACAGCTCAAATTATTCAATACAAACATGTATCATCTGAGGTTGTTGCTTTTCTCTTTTTGTGGATGGTAGCATCCTTCGGGGCACCTATTAGTGAAAATTTTGTTGTAATTAGCTTATTGGCATATTAAACATACTTATTGAATATCAATGAATTTAACAAAACAACTCAAATTATTCAATACAAACCTGTATCATCTGAGGTTGATGTCTTCCTCCTTGTGCTCCTTCTACCTTGACGTGCGGCGGCGTGCTCATGCCAAGAAGGATCACGAGCGTTTTCCCTTTTAGGTGGCCGACCTTTTGCCTTCGTAGACACTCGTGGCTCCCTAAGGCCTTCCTCTTCGGGGTAAAGCTAACTCATTAATGCGACCTTGGCTGCTCGAACTGCAGATGGACCACGTCTACACACCTCAGCCACTAGATCATGAAAAATCTGAAGATCATTGGCGTCATTGTCTTCGAACCGTCTTGCATCATGAGGGTTAGCATAGTCCAAAGTAGACCAGAATGGTGCCAAGTGTGTTATCTGAAAATGGTCTCCCGCTCCTTTAAAGGAGTTGATTCGACAACTGCATGGGAGCCCATGTGTCCTCCCAATCACACAATCACATTCCAACGGAGTCTTCTTTCCCTCTACAAACATCAACTCAAGCGCATATAGGCTTACACTTCCCCTTATAACGCCGTAGGGTGGTCCATAGGCTCCTTTGGCTTTGATGTAGAGAGGCCTCAAATGACGCATCATCTTCGGCTCGGGCTCGTTGAAAACAACGAACCTGTTCAATTCTTCACTCATGGCTCCTTCGTCCACGGCTTTCCCTTTCGCTTCTGCAGCCTGGATAGATTTCTCCAGCTTGTCGAAGTCTGATTCCCATGTGATGTTCTCCACCGGCACACTTGTTGACTCTTTCGGGCCTTGGTATAACACGTAAAAAGGATATCTTCCCTCATCTTCACCCAGTAGCCCAACAGCTTTGTGGCCTGCTTCGTACAGCTCTCTCAGGATTCGCTGCGAACTCTTGTTTTGCTTGGCTGACTCCACTGCCAAGTCAATTCGACCATTCGTGCGAGCCATCATTGCACTCCACGGCTCAGCCTCGATTGGCAGATCCGCAGATTCGCCAACCAGCTCTGCCGCCGCTGGCTCCTCATTCTCCTCCTCTAATGTCAGTTAAGGAAAACCGCTCACCAGCTCAGCAACGTTGACCTCTTGAGCAGCCTCGTCCAACTCCTCAACCTCCATTACGACCTCGCCATCCTCTCCCTGATTTTCCAAATCAATGTGGAAAATCAAAGGCAAGATGTAGTTGTTCACCACCACCGGTGGTAGACTTCCAAACTGGATCGTCATGGGTGCACCTTGGTTGTCATCATCGTCATCCTTGTTTTTCCGATCGAATTTCGACTTCGGCTCCTCCAATTCCAGCATCTCCTCTTCGATGAGGGAGTCATCCAACTCAGCATCGTACTCAGCCTCCCACGGGACTCCCTGATCGTTCCCGTCCAGGTTGTCCTCGACAACCTTTCCAGCACCGGCCAAAGTCACTCTCAGACCCGTGGCAGAGTTGTCCACGTTCACATTTGCTTGCAAGTTTGCAATCCTCCTTCCTTGAGCATTCTTGCGGAGGTACCTTCGATACTGCGTCCTTGTCATCCCGTCAAGCGCGATTGGCTGCTGACGACGGACGTCGTAGGTGTGCCAACCACCCCGTGGCACATTTGGCATCCTGAAGGTTCTCCGAACAGGTGGGGGAGCTCTCACCGGTTGGGCAAGTCCAAAAGGTAGACTTTTGAAAGGCGGGGCACTTTGAGCAACCCACTGCCTACGCTGCCCTCTTCCCCACGCAGGTGTACGTACTCCTTCGACACTGCGTTCATATGAGGGATAACTCGGTTTGAACTGTCGTGGTCCCAATCTCTGGTGGACCGACTGGCTCGATCCCGCTCCCCCAATGGTTAGCTTTCCGCGACACTGGGCACACAACTTCTCTTCCTCAGCTGGGTCCAAGCGTGGCCCCTCCTGCACTTGGGAGGATGAAGCACCCTGGGTCACATCAGAACTACCACTCGGCGGCGACGATGTATCCACTACCAACTTGAAGTGTGGCAGGTTGATCTTAGAGAAATCAGGATTGACCATGTTAACGCCGACAATGTTTGGGAACGGGTCCGTGTCAACAATCATGGCCTCCTTTCTCGGCTCTGGGAACTTGAACCGACCTTCTCAATTGCATCCTGCACAACATTGCGAAACACAACACACATGTTAGTTGAATGAGATGCACTGTTGTGCCATTTACAATATCGTTTCCCTTTTAATTTTTCAGCTGGCGGGATAGTATGCCCCCCAGTCAACTTAATTTACCATCTTTGTAAAGCTGGTCGAAAATCAGTTCTGATTTTGAGACATCAAAGGAATATTTTCTAGTTTGAATCGGAGCACGATTGGGCTTTCCACCTTGTGGTTCCCCCTCGGCCTTGGCTAGAGAAGCACACACATATGGCTTCCCCTGCACAATCTCGGCCAAATCAACTTCAACCTCGTCAACATCGTTGCCGACGTTATTCACACCATAGTTTTCAAAATTAGGGAAATATTGTCCGCGAGAGCCACTTCTCTTATGTTCTTCTTCACGGAGAAGAGATTCATATCTAACAGCGCAGGACATCAATTGAAACAAATCAGAAAACTCCCTATCTTGAAACTTTTTACGAAGTTCAAAATTCAATCCACCCTGGGCAAGTTTAACAAACTCGCGTTCTGTCAAGTTCACAAAACAGCGATTTCTTGCATTTTTAAAGTTAGTTAAGAAGTGTTCCACTGTTTCTCCTGGCTGCTGGCGCATTCGTGCCAAGTCTGCCATAGTTACTTCTGGCTCAGAACGGTAGAACTGGGCATGGAACATTTGTTCCATTTGCTGCCAAGTTTGAACCGAGTTCGATGGCAAGTTGACGTACCACGCGAACGCGGGACCGGTCAACGAGTTGCCAAACAAACGCAACTTCAAGAAATCACTCACATCACCACACTGAACCTTGAATCATCCAACATGCTCGACGGTGGACTGATCCCCAGTCCCGGTGAAGGTGATGAAATCAGGCACGTGAAAACCACGTGGAAAGGGGTAGTATCTATCAATCCAAGCCGGATATGGTTTTCGATACACCGGCGGCATCGCTGGTCTAATCCCTAAACCAAACTGATCCGCCAGCATCTGTGCTACCTGATCCCGAATCACATTAACGTCTTGCCCCCCGAGTTGCCCCCCTTGTGGTACGAATCCACCAGGATCCATGCCAAGCCCGTTTGGAGGAGGAGGCACGTTTTGTGGGTAGCCGCGTGGCGGAACATGATCATTGTTGATCGTTCCTCCACCACCAGCACCGCTCATCGGAGCCACGTAGGGTCTGGCCTCCGGAATATTTTGTGGACCCACATTGTGCACTGGTGGCGGCTCAACACGAGTGTTAGCCGCAGTGCTGGTCTCGCCAAGATTTAATCTCGACGGACTTGTTGGGTTCACCACCGGTGTCGGCGAAACGCCCTGTCTCGGCTGAGTATCTCGGCCGCCATTGACCGGAAAGGTGCCAGTGTCGTAGTGTAACGGATTCTCGCCGCTTAACGGCAAAGCCCTTGTTTGCGGCACTGGCCTATTCAAAAACTCTCTAAAGTCATTAAAATCACGTCTGTTACTTTCAAAATCCATTCAGTTTTTATCTACGACTTCAACCAGTTGGCTAACACGTCTATCAATCCGAGAACTAAGACCATCAAGACGTCCATCCAAAGAGGCTAAGTGAAGTTTTACCTGTTGGTTATCAGCCATGACTTGGTGAAGCATCCGTGTTATCTCACCCTGGTTGGCAGTTTGCGCCACTGCTGGCACTTCCCCTCGCGTGTTCAATGCGCACTGTTTTCAAGCAAACACACAAAACACCACGTTAATCACAACCGTCAAATATCCGCCGCCGAAGTCGGCGCCGTTGATTTGATCGATCGAACAGAAAACAAAGAAGATCGTCAAATATCCTCCGCCGGTGTCGGCGTCGTTGATTTGATCGATACACCCTTGACTTCTAATCAAACAACCGTTATTCGGTTCACCACCTCTCCAAACTACGTTCGAACGAGGGTGTTCGGCGAATAACCAGAAAATCGAACCAGGAGTGTTCTAAGTTACATTACCTCTACTCCTATGGAGGTTCCTCTGGAGAGCTCCGCAACTACGACTACGACTACAAGCTACGACTACGACTCTGCAAAGGAGGTCTTTGACAGAGCGACTCTACGAAAACTAGAGAGAAAAGATAAATCTACGATGTTGTAGTTTGTGATTTGATTTTGCCCCCGAGCTTCTCTCTCTTCCCAATCTTTATACTTCGCGCTTCTCTCTGTCGTAGTAACTGCCTTGGCGCCTTTGTCTCCCACGTATTCATTCCTGTCAACCGTGCAGGTAAATTCCTCCTTGTTGCGTGATAATCACGTGCCCTCGAAACCGCTCTTGCTTTGCAGAAACTTGGCGAAACGACTTACCAATACCACGACCTCGCCTTTCACCAACCGATGTCGTTTTATAATCCAACTCAACTGCCCCGGTCTTAACCAACGACATTGTTAGTCCATCAAACAACGTCGTTCTATACTCTTGCACCGTCGTTGGGCTTGGCGGCTGCCTTTGGCCGAACTCTTACCACTACCGCGATGTCGTTTTACTTTTCCGCGGCATCGCTTTTCATTAAACGACACCGTCTAAAATAATCATAAAATTTAAACCAGCCCTCATTGTTAACTCGCCGTCGAGCTTTCACCCCTCGGCGTCGTTCTTAGTTAAACAACATCGTTTCCTTGTCCCGCGATGTCATTGAACCTTTGAGCTTCGGGACACTGTTTTGACTTTAACACTGTCGTTTTGACTGTTGCGGCATCGCTTGGCCTATTCGCGGTATCGTTTTTAACTAAACGACACCGTCCTAAATAATCATTAACAACATTAGTTAATTAATCCGGCCATCACTAGTCAAACTCGTGTGTTGACTGACGACATCATTCGCGCCCAAAACGGCTTCGTTTGTCTTTCCCTTCGTGACATTGTTTGTTATTTTAAACACTGTCTTTTGCTAGTCCGCGGTACCGTTTTGAATTAAACGACACCGCTGATATAACCAAAAAATATTAATCCATGGAACCGCCGCAGTCGGCGCTCGCATTGGGCTGGGTGAATTTTGGTCACTTGCCCGATATGATTTTTTTAATTAATCGGTACCGCTTACCAGGCTCTCGCGGCATCGTTTTTAAATCCGCGGTACCATTTTAACTCTCCGCGATACCGCTTTTCTCCATGCGGTACCGATTTTCCCCTTCCAACAAGGAATAATAATATTAATTAATTATAAACAAAACTCCTTCTCCAACAAGAAACCACACGCGCGGCCCTTTTTTATTCTTCGGTATCGTTTCCAGTACCGCGGTACCGCTGAGCCTCCTTGCGGTACCGTTTTTTTGTTTCGCGGTACCGTTTTACTCCAAAGGAATAACAAATAATAATTAAATAATCAAACTCCTCCTCTACCCTTCATTAAACGAGCGGCTTTTTTTTTATTTTCGGCCTGCGGTGTCGTTTCCGGTGTTGCGGTACCGGTGAGCTTCCTTGCGGTACCGTCTTTCTGTTTCGCGGTACCGTTTTACTCCAAACGACACCGTTTTTTTTTATCGCGGTATCGAATTAAATGCCGAGACTATTTAATGCGGCATTTAATTCAGGCCAAATTAATTTTAGGTGTCAACATTTACCTCCATTTACCAAGTTGTTTTGCTTGGAGTATTTAAGTGATTTCAAATAACCCAACACATAAGCAAAAATTCTTTGAAAAAAAAAGGTTGGATTCTAATTGTTTTGGCTCTTCATTAACAATGTCGTGGAACCATGATAAAAAATATCGCAAAAAGGCAACAATGTAAAGTTTGTGATGCTACATTGTTGGCTCATTACATGGAGCTATGGTTTATTGTGGATATAGCTTGAGCGGTGTAGCCATGTTGCCTCATGTGATCTCAGTCACGTCGTTGTAGTCCCAACAACACCGCAGCAGGATTTTGGTGCGTGTCATTGAAGCATATCCATGATTCGACCAAAGTGGATCGTGATGTTGAGTAATGGAATCATGGTGGCTTATGGTTTTAAAGCAACGGTGCAAAGCTATAGCAAATCCAAGAAGAAAACAACATTGCATTCTGGTGCACCTTCTCAGCACCGCAATGTGGAGCCGAAGTGGGAGAATATGGAGCCACGGTGCAACCTTGCATGCTTTGGTTCCAAGTGGGTTCGCAAAATTGTAAAATCAATAGTGAGATTCCATGATGAACTAGTGGTCCCAAGAAACGCTATGTTACAAGCTACAAGGTGGTTGTAACCCTTGTGGCTTTAGCAGCATTGCAAACTCATGGACATTTCGTGTAGCCACAATGGATGGTGTTGCGATCTAGTGGTGCACCTCTTGTAGAACTGTGGTGCAAGTCGTGTTGCAACATTGTCAGCTAGCAGTGCCAGCCACCACGTAACCATGTTGCACCGTTGTGTACGCATGGTTTCATGAGAACAACGAAGGCATGGTTATGGAGACGGCGGTAGGATCCGTCTCTATTAGTAATGATATACTTTCACGTTGTTAACGTTTTGATGAGAGTTGCTTAACGTTTTTAACGTAAACGTGACGTTCTCATCCCAAAAATTTCATTGAAACTGAAAATTATAAATGTTTTAGGTCGATTTTTAATGATTTTAATACTATTAATTATGATATACTTTAACAACATTTTGGTGGGAGTTGCTTAACGTTTTTAACGTGAAAGTGAAATTGTAAGTTGTAACAACTACGTGATATCATGATACATTAACGAACAACATATGATATCATGATATATTAAACATAGATAATTTAACTATATTTTATTATTAATTCATTAAAAAAATTATAATGCTCGGCTATAATGATTATAACCTTAAATATTTTATTACGTTAATAACAATTTACATTACATCAACAATGATAACATTACATTAGATTGTTAACAATGAGCCTTAACTCATTAACAAACAACAAAAAAATGATTTAGGAGATGATGATAATGTTTTTGTATATCGTTGAAAATTCATTGCAAAAAAGTTGATAACAGTACCTTGGATTGATTATAATGAACCAATCAAATTTAATGGTGTAATTGTTTGATATTTTTTCATAAATGTTGATAACAACAATAAAAATAAATAGTACACTTTATCAAGAAGTTTATAAACCTGACGTCTAAATTGGAAAACATAAGCTCCTAGGTTGATAGAGATGCAACAAACCGTTAATAATGTAACAAAAATTTATTGATAACGAAAACATCAAAAACCAAAACATTATGTTTTTATTGAATATACAAATATTTATTTTCAACTAAATATAGTCATTATCAATGATTTAGTGTGTTCTTATTAAAGGTTACTAAAGTTCAAAACTAATAACGTCATAAAGTGTTTTATTAACAAGTCATGTAAAATTTGATAATAACGATTATTAAATATTTTATAATGAAAACTATATGTTCACACATGACATGACGTTACTAATTAATGAAAAATTGACAATGTTAAATATAATCACCAAACACGTCAAATAAATAATTAATAAAAACATTTTAGAAGCTAATAAACGTTGATAACAATTGATCCCAAATTCTTAATAATATAATAGTAAAGAATTGATACGTATATTGAAATCGTTAATAATTATAAGGTTTAGTAATTGTGATTTATTTCATAAGCGATGATAATGTCATTGCGAAATGTTGTCATGAAGTGAGAGAGTAGATTTTTAATTTTCAATTTCCATTTTAAAATAAGAAAAAATTATTTAGTTTGAATTTTATTAAATAATAAAATATAATTAAATTAATTTCAGATTTGCTCATAATTGTAGTGGAGAGAGAGGATTATGGAGAAAGTTATGTGAGGAGAGAGAAAGAGAATAATCAATTATTAATATCAATTATATTTGCATAATAACCTTATTTATCCTCAACTATCTATTAACTACTAACCCCTTATTAATTACCTAATCCACTATCAACCAATAGAATAATTTAATCAATATGCTTAAGCATTTGGGTTTAAGCACAGGAACCCAGGCCCCCTGAAACAATCCCGAATTCCCTCTCCTTCATCGCAAAAATATCCGACCCTTGGATCTCCAGCCGTGCACCCGGCTGCTCTCAGCGTGTTACAAAAAAAATGCATTACATTGCGTTGGTTGATTTTCTTTTCTTAATGTTTTCTTTCACCAAATGATAATGTGTTATTATATTTTTTATGCACTTTTTTCATTTATTGTTGACCTCAAGATTTGAACATTGAGTATGGTGAATTTTCTCATCTTTATATTATCATATCATTAGACCACCCCTTTAAATCCATCACCATTTATAGAAGGGTTAATAGCATTTTCTACCATTCTAATATTGCAAATTAACAAACGTATTTCTCTATTAAATTTCTGCATAAACATACCCCTCTAATTTTAAAATGTAACGAATATATTCTTCCGTCTAATGTTTTGTTAAACGACTGTGTCATAACCGGGCAGCTTATTAGTACGATATTGTCCGCTTTGGGCCAAGCCCGCACGGTTTTATTTTTTGGGTGTCCTCCCCAAAAGGCCTCATACTAATTGGGCTAGGTGGACACTTATATACAAGGGTTCCTTCCCTTGTATTTCCGATGTGGTACTTGGATTGTCCCATAACAACCCTCCCCTCAAGACAAGGACCACGAACTTCGTATCCTCTCCTCAGCGATTATCTTGATCCGTCAGACGCCTTGTATCGATGGGCTTCTCTGTACAAGGACTTTACCAGACGCAAAACTTTCTTAAATTAAAATTAAGTTTCATATTTTGTTTGTTTAGTTCAATAAATTAAAATTATATGAATTAATTTCTTCCATTTTAAGGATACTTTCGGAAATATAATGAATGAGTCAGACAACATATGATGCATTATTAATTTTTTTATATTTTTTTGAATTGTGATAAAATTTTAAGTTATTTTTTATGTGTGTTTGTACTAAATAAAGTTTTATTAATATTATGATTATTAGTATATTTTTAACTTTTGCGACGTACCCCCGCGGGAACGCTAAATCCTAGCTCCGCCCCTGAGCAGGATCGTGGCACCACATTGGACAAGAAGCAAAGGAAGCTGCCCATATAATGGCGCATGCAGAAACAAGATGGAATGAGCGTATTTTTAGGGTTGATAGGCCTCCAATTTACCTTGTTAATCCGCTTCAACATGATAATGTAACCGCAAATTCTGATTAATAAAGGTTCGAACAGGTTGACGATAAAAAAAAAGTTCCGAAATTAACGACGAGTGTGACCCACCCAAGAGGATGAGATCGTCAATTGGGCCTCAATGACTGTAATCTGTCAGTTGGGGTTTTTTGAAAATGTAAGCCCAAGCTGGGAGCTCCAACTTACAATTCGCTCCAAAAAATTAGACCACAGCTAATCGCCTCAGTGATTCATATATCTCGAGAATGCACATCATCTGTTTCTTCCCCAATCCCCACAAAGCCGATTGAGAAACCACACGCACTTGAATCCAAATCATTCCTCAAATCTCAACTCCCAACAGAAAGGAGGGGACGAGGTGGCCATCTGCGTTGTGCATCCAGATTTTTTTGCTAATAAAGGCTCGTTACACAAACACAGTGCAAATTCTCTTACGAAACTCCCATATATTAAGAGCCATTCAATACCCGATTTCAGATTAAAATTTCCCCCAAAATTTTTTTTTAAAAAAAAAAACAATTCCATCAATTATGTTAATCATCTCCTCTCTTAACCTCCCGACAATCCCAAATCCACCCCCTCCCCCTGCCAAGAAGAAACGAGAACGAGAAATTCTTGGAGAGAGAAGCCTCTTCTTCTCTCTTCTATGATTCTTTCTCTGTTTCTCTCCTCTCCGATTCCCCTTTTTTTTTTTCTTCTTCTAAAGACAGCCCATCTGAGAAAGAACGAAGGAAAAGGCTTCTCTCTTCATTAATTCCTTTTTTCTCCGTTGCCCCCCTCATTTTCCAGCCAATACTGATTCCGTTCTTTCAAGAGAGACATGAAATATCGGACATGTCTCCTCCTATTCTCCGTCCTCTTGATCACGTTACTAATAACGGCCACCGCACAGGAGGAAGCTCCTCCTCCAATGATCCCGCCGAAGGCGCCATCGTACATCGTCTCCTGCGGCGCCACGGAGGAGGAAACCGGCGACGATGGGCGGAGCTGGCAGCCGGACGATAAGTACCTAAACTACACCGGCGAGAAGCCCAAGGCCGCCGTGGCGGCCTATCAGGACCCTAATCTGGGCTCGGCGGTCCCCTTCATGTCGGCCCGGATTTTCGAGGCCCAAGGAGGTTACAAATTCGCGGTCCCCACCGACGCACGTGTCATGATCCGGTTCTACTTCTACGCCTCGACGTACGGAGACCTCGACGCGGCGAATTCCTATTTTGCCCTCACGGTCAACGGCTTCCAGCTCCTCAGCAACTTCAGCGCGTCGATCGCCACGAGGGCGCTGACCCAGGCCTACATAATGAAGGAATTCTCGCTTCTGCCCTCCCCCTCGGGGGTGCTCGGCGTGCTCTTCACGCCGTCGGCGGACTACAAGGGTGCGTTCGCGTTTGTGAACGGCGTCGAGGTGATTCCGATGGCCGATATCTTCGACGACAGCCCGCCACTGCTGGGGCTCGGTGACCAGACGGTGGATTTGACGACGTACGGCTTGCAGTCGATGTACAGGCTGAACGTCGGCGGGGAGGTGATCCCGCCGGCGAACGACTCGGCGGGGCTGAGGAGGACGTGGTATAACGATTTTCCGTACATTTTCGGAGGGACGGATGGGCGGACCGTGTACAAGAAGGACGTCCATTACCCAAGCGAATACGTGCCAGAATCCATCGCGCCGCGGTCGGTGTACACCACCTCCAGGTCCATGAGCGAGGACCCGGCGGTCAACCGGAAGTTCAACCTGACGTGGGTGTTCCAGGTGAGTGCCACGTAATCATTTTCGATGAGTTAATGATGGATGGGAATTTTTGAATAGCTGTGTAGACCTATAAGTTAGGGTTGGGAATTCGATCATGGTTTTTTGGACAAACTGGAAATCGGAGCGTATAATGCAGTTCGGTGGGAACTAGAAATCGGATTAATACAAATTAACTTGGTTTCGATTGTGAGGGAGATTGACTACCCGTCCTAGTTTGGTTCGGTTAAAACCAAAACCAGATGGTTAGCATGGGAAGTCTATGTTTCAATTGGGTTAAAAAAAACTTGTACTATAGGGGTATCTGGTCCTTGTTACCAAGGGTTTTGACTTCTAGCCAGTATAAATACATTGAAATGGACAACAAAATTGAAGATTTACTAATATGAACAAGTAATACCTACAGTGTCCCTATCGTTCAGTTTTATTTCCACCAGTTACGACCAACCACCACGTCCTGCTTGATGCTCTCCGCCTTGCCTTCATTGCAAAGAGATAAAAGTTTGTTTTTTATTTTTAAATGTATTTTGAGTTACAGTGACGCTTTGGGAACAAAATTGTGTCATTTTAATGCAATCGTTTTCAATCTAATACATTTTTCGGTTGTAGATCATCTAACACAGTTCAACTCAAAAGTCCATTTAAAATCAATCCAATTAAACTAGATCGGAAAGTTTTTATCCTTACTATGAGTACTTAATAACTTATATACTATAAATTTTCTGTAGCACAAAATAAGTGTGTCTATTAAAATTTATTGTAGCACAATGACATAGTTCTTACTATTTATATCCTCCTAATTTTCTCTCCATTTTTCTTTTTTTTTACTCCCTCAGGTGGATGCCAATTTCACCTACATGGTCCGCCTCCACTTCTGCGACGGCGAGATGACGCGAGCCAACCAGCGGCCCTTCTCCATCTACCTCAACAACCAGACCGCGCAGCATACCGCCGACGTCATCGCCTGGACCGGCGGCAAAGGGATCCCCATCTACAAGGACTACGCCGTCTACCACAGCGACAAGAACGGCGACGACCTCTGGCTCGCCCTCCACCCCAACGAGGAGAGCCACCCGGAGTTCGTCGACGCCATCCTCAACGGCGTCGAGGTCTTCAAGCTCAACAGCGTCAGCAAGAGGAGCTTCGCCGCCCGCAACCCGGAGCTCTCGGCGATGATGTCGCGGCACGAGGAGGACGTCAGGAAGAAGAGCTTCGGATACTCCGGCGGCGCCAACGCGCACGTCATCGGCGCGATCGCCGGCGGGGTCACCGGGTTGGCGGCCGTGGTCGTGGTGTCGGCGGTCGTGCTCCACAAGAAGCGCCGGACGGTGGGGACCACGCGCTCGGGAAGCTCCAGTAACTGGCTGCCGCTGTACGGGAATTCCCACACGTCGAGCAAGTCGACGGGGTCTAGGAAGAGTACGAATAGTAGCCACTTGTCGACCATTGCGCAGGGTCTCTGTCGGCACTTCTCGTTACAGGTACGCGCGCGTTCAACATCTGTTTTCTGAAAAACACAGGAAACATAAATGAAAGTAAACAGGCTCTTAAGGATTTGCGATGGTTTTATCGTTGTTACTAATGGTTTTGTTATTATATTTCTCCACATAGGTAGAGGAAATCAAAATTACTTGTTTTTGCAGTGATCATCATTTCTAGTCATTCTAGAGTAATTAAATAATACATTACTTGTAATGACAGATCAACTAACCTCAATCGACAAGAATGAGCAAGAATTAATCTTGGTTGTGAATGATAGTAATGTTAGGATTTTCTTTTCCGTGGCATCAAGATTCGAATCCAGGTTATGGTATATGTTCTCTTTCATACAGTACCATTAGGTCAATTTCTTGAGGTTTAGTAATGCAAGTGTTTTAGGACATAAACATACTTGGATTGTGTCACTTGGTATAGCTGGCTTTACATATTGCATTGCGAAAAATATGACATTTAATACATGGTATTGATGCACGCAATGTGTGTTTACGTAAGTCCTTACACAATGGATAATCTTTTTCATTATGATATATAAACCCCACATACACATTTGATTAGACTCCTACGTTAGAGATAATTGTTATTTCAGCTCGAAGTCTGCGAGAAAAACAGCCTTCGTAGCAACTTCGACCCTTTTGTTTGAAGCCTTAAAGATATCCAATCTTTCATCCAATTCCTTGAATTTGTATAAAAACATACCTAATTTAACGTGGTAGAGGCTCCTGGAATCGACTTGCATTCATGCTTCTCGAATTGAGCTCAAAAATAGGCTTCACAAACACGTTTCCAGACTTAGCCATTTCTAGACAGTTTCCCAGTTTTGGCATAGCCTTTTGATGAGGTTCAAAAATGGTCTTCTGGACTTCCTATCGAGCTCTCAATCACTTCAATATGTAGAGGGACACTCCAGCTTCAAAACAAGTCATTAGTCTTCAATTTCCATCTAGCCAATTGTATGATATGAATATCCAAAGTAGGCACCATGAACTGTTTTTACACTGAAACAACATATTAGGTCGACCGGATCCTATATGAGGTCGACCGAATTCTAAATGAGTTCGACCTAATTCTAACTGAGGTCGACCGAAAAATGCAAGTCACCGTGACATGCATGTCACCGTAGGCACACCCTAATCTTTTTATGTAACAAGTTTTACAAAGTTATGTAAAGTGTAAATGCGTTACGGAAACTTTACGTGAGTTTGATTAAAATCGTTACTTGAAAGGGAGTAACTGTTGTTCCAACTCTCTTGTAAATATATTTACTTTACACAATAGTAACTGTTGTTCCAATTCTTCCTACCCACAGGAAATCAAGCACGCCACGAGAAACTTCGACGAAGCCAAAGTAATCGGCGTGGGAGGGTTCGGGAAAGTGTACAAAGGGGTAATCGACGGGACAGTCGAAGTCGCAATCAAGAGATCGAATCCACAATCGGAGCAAGGAGTCAACGAATTCCAGACCGAAATCGAGATGCTATCCAAGCTGCGGCACAAACACCTGGTCTCCCTGATCGGATTCTGCGACGAGGACGACGAGATGGCGCTGGTGTACGATTACATGGCAAACGGAACCCTAAGAGAGCATCTCTACAAAGGGAACAATCCGCCGTTGCCGTGGAAACAGAGGCTCGAGATCTGCATCGGCGCCGCCAGGGGATTGCACTACCTCCACACGGGAGCGCAGTACACGATCATCCACCGCGACGTCAAGACGACGAACATCCTCCTGGACGGGAAGTGGGTCGCCAAGGTTTCGGACTTTGGGCTTTCGAAGACCGGCCCAAATCTGAACAACCAGGCCCACGTCAGCACGGTGGTGAAGGGGAGTTTTGGGTATTTGGATCCGGAGTATTTCAGGCGGCAGCAGCTGACGGAGAAATCGGATGTGTATTCGTTTGGGGTCGTTTTGTTTGAGGTTTTGTGCGCCCGGCCGGCGCTGAACCCTAGCTTGTCGAAGGAGCAGGTAAGCTTGGCGGATTGGGCGATGCAGTGCCAGAGGAACGGGAAATTGGAGGAGATAGTCGATCCGTTGTTGAAAGGGGATATAAATCAGGAGTGCTTGAAGAAATTCGCGGACACGGCGGAGAAGTGTTTGGCCGATGCAGGGATTTATCGGCCTTCCATGGGGGATGTGTTGTGGAACCTTGAATTTGCTCTGCAATTGCAGGAGAATCCCAAGGCGGCGGTGGTCGAACAGAAAGGTGAGGAAATCGGCGGCGGCGACGGTGGCGGGAGGAGGAGGGAGCTGTCGACGGTGGATGAGGAGGTTAGTGTATTGATGGGTGATGACACCGATGAGAGTGAGATTTTTTCGCAGATAGTGAACCCCAAAGGAAGATAGGGATTTTTTTTTTTTTATGAAGGGCGGGACAATGGAAAGAAGAAGAAGAGAGAGATAATTTACAAATCGGGAAATTTGCACACTTCTTATGTTCAAAATTTGCCGCCAGCAACGAAATGTACAGGAGACTTAAAGATAGAAGGGGTGATTAAAATTTGTACATACATAACCTATCGAGAAGTTCTTTTTTCTCGTGAAATTTTACTTTCTGTATTGGTTTGTAATATTTATCCTAAGGGTACGATTGCCATGGTAGGAAATTTTGGTGTGCACTCCTGTAAAATTAGATCTCTCTAATGATGTAGTGTTCTTTCTCTTTTCTTTTTCTTGTATAGACATTGATTATGTTCTGATTCCAGAATGATCATTTACGCATCTTTTGATTCCTATGTGAGAGATTATTAGGTTTGACTGACATGCTTAATTTCACCAACATCCTCTCCTTTTTGTCTTACCTTTTTAAATGGTACAAATAATTTTAGTGTATATATTGACTTGTGTTTGGAGGGAGGATTCTTCGGGGAGTTATACGGTGAAGTCCGGGTATCGATTGGCGGAGAGGCTTTCCCAAAAAACGTGGGTGGGTAAGCCGGATTGTAGCACGATGGATCGGGGATTATGGATAAGAGTGTGGGGGTTGCCAATTCAGCCTAAGCTCAAGTTTTTTGTGTGGGAAATCCTGCAGAGAATTTTGCCAACTATGGAGGCATTGCGGGAGAAGAAGGTGTTGGTTCTTGCTTGATGCCCGGTTTGTTGGGCGAGTGAGGAGTCGACTGAACATCTCTTCTTGCATTGCCGAGTGGCGCGCGGGTTGTGGGAAGCGGCGGGGCTGGCTGCTGAGTTGGACACTTTGCCCACTGGGAGTTTTAATATTTTTTTCCGGCGATTCTTGGATCGCGATGCTTCGCCTTCCCGGGTTGTGCGGTTGGTTTGCTGTTTGTGGAGAATTTGGAAGGGTCGCAACTCGGTAGCATTTGAGGGGACTCAGACCCTGCCATCTATTCTTCGTCAGGAGTTCCTTTTTCAGGTGAATGAGTGGTTACAGGTTCCGCAAGAAGGTGGGAGAGGTGAGGCCTCACAGGTTCTGGCGCATAATGTGGGTGTTCCGGCTAGCCAGAGGGATCCGTTCGGTACTATCTGTTCCTTTGATGGTGCAGTCCGGGAGGGGTCCCATGCGGCTGGAGGGATGGTTCTGCGTGATGCGGCAGGGATGGTGTTGGCAGCTCGGGGGGTGACTTACAGCGGTCTCCAGAGTCCAATGTTGGCGGAGTTATCGACGCTTCGGGATGCCATCAGGTGGTGCCAGCACTGGGGATTGGAGACGGTTTTGCTGGAGGGAGATGCGAAGGTGGTTATTGATAAGGTCAACGCTGGGGGTGTTACTGATGCTTCTGGGGGGGCCATTTTTGAGGAAATTCGTCATCTCCTTTCGACAGTGCCAGGGTTCCGGATCATGTTTGTGGGTAGGAAGAACAATTGGGTAGCCCATCTGGTGGCTCAGAAAGCCCTGTCTTTGTTTCCTACGGATTGTAATGTGTTTGATTTTCATGCTTGGCTCCGATTGGAGCTTGGTCATATGTAACTTGGTTTTCTTGTTAATGCAAGTGATCGTTTCGTCAAAAAAAAAAAAAAAAAAAAGCAATTCTTCTTTGAAATATGGTGGAGATTTACGGTCGATGATATTGTCGATCAGAACGACTAATTATTAATTAATTAGGTAATGACTACAAGGTTGGTCAGGTCAACCACAAGACTAAGTAGATAGCCGCTTTCGTAAAACTATCGAGGATAAATTTTGTAGAGCTTTACCAAGTCTAACGATAGATAATTTGGGTGAAGACATTGAAGACTTCTTTAGCGAAAATGATGAACATTGTAATGATGACATTAAAGAAGCACATATATAAAATCCGGACTAAAAATTTGAGTTATTTGAACTTAATGCACAAAAGACATTACCTTTTCATTGCTTAAAAATCATGAGTGGTATAATCCTAATCCCATAAACCCGCTAAAACCTAAATTATAGACCCTAAACCTTGTATTATGAACAACAAAATCCTAAATCATGAACCTAAATACCCAAAATCCTAACCTTAAAACAAACCTAAAACATGAAACCCTCTAATTAGGGGTGGCTCTACGGCCCGATCCGGTTAAATTGGCCCGAATTGATCTGGTCCCGGTCCGGTCTTTTCGGGAATATAAAGACCAAAGATTGGATTGGATACAGTCCGATCTTGACGCGGTCCGGTCCCAATTCGGTCTTTGATTTTAAATTGAACTTGAGGAAATTTGAGTGGCCTGAGATCTCAAAAAGTGAGGAGTTGATAAAATTTTGGGTGTCGCGCTCTCTTATCCGGTTTTCAATCCGACCTCAGACGGGTTTTTACCTCAAATTTAAGCCTGAAAATGGAATTGGATTATTTGTTATCCGATTCTGGTCCAGTCCCAATCCGAATTATACGGTCCGATTTTGGATAAAACCAAAATACCCGGACCAAATAGCCCGCCCTACTCTAAATCCTACCATTTTTTTTATTCAGAGATATGAGAATAGAATACAAGAAAATTAGACTACCCTATAAGTCCCTTCCCACCCAAGAAACAAAATCAAATGAAATCAACTCTAAACTAGATTGAGAAAGGGATTTTCTTGCCACACTATGGGCAGCCCGATTGGCAGTTCTTGGAACTGCACAAACCTCTAAGCCTATGTTTAGGGTAGCGATCATCTGATGACAGTCCCTGAGCACCGGACCTCCAACAACATCTGACTCTATCCCTCTGAGAAGCTGACGAACGACGACTTCGGAGTCCCCTTCTAGGATGACTTCTCGTAGGCCGAAGTGACGAATCATGTTTAAACCATCTTGAGCGGCTAGTAGTTCGGCTAGGTACGGGTTGAAGATCCCAGAATGTTGAAGTCCAAAATCTAGGAGCGTACGGTCGTCTGCAGACTTCAACACCAAGCCTGTAGAACTACCTCGGGAAGGATGGATAGCTGCGTCGAAGTTGAGTTTGAGATGACCAAGAGGAGGGGGAGACCAGGAAGGAGGCACTGAAGGGAAGACCATTGGTGGGGGCGGAGGGACAAATGGATGGGCGGAGGAGAATTCTTGTACTTGGTGAGCGAATTGAGCAACGAGTACGGATGGCAGTAGTTGAGTATACTAAAAAACTACTGTATTTCGAGATTTCCAGATTCTCCACAGTAAACAAACGACTTGTAGAATCTGGTATGGGTTTTACATAGAGTACATTACTCTCCGCCACCAAGTGTTAAAATTTTCTTGCGCGGCGTGATTAAGGATATTCTCCAACACTACCATTCGCCATAGTCGAGTAGCTAATGGGCAGGTAAAGAATAAGTGTTCCAATGTTTCGGCTTGAAAGAAACAAACTAAACAAAGGTCTGAAACTGGTACATCTCGTGCTTTAAGGATAGCCATGGTAGGTAAGATAACTCTTAAGACTTGCCATATGAAGAACCAAAGTTTAGGGGGAATTTGGAGTTGCCATGTTTTTTTTCCATAAGCCCTCATCCATCACTTGAGCTATACTCTTAGCCCCATTTGATAAAGCCAAGGTGATGCCCATACGGTATCATGTTTTGACTGAGTATTCGCCGTTAGGAGTAAAATGCCAGACTCTCCTATCTGGTTGGTCATGTCTAGCAATAGGAAGAGAGCAAATTAGCGATACGGAATCGGGAGAGAAAAGTTCATTGATCAAACTCCTCCATTGGTTGGATTCTTTGCAAATCAAAGAGGATACCAAGATTGACTCTTCAGCAGGAGCTTGATCTTTTAGCTTAGGGTATGATGGGGGTGATGAAGGCAACCATAAGTCGGATAATACTCGGACACTCTCACCATTTCCTATTTTCCAACGAAGTCCCTGAAGGAGTAGTTCTCAACCATATAATATACTTCGCCTAGCCCAAGAAGAATTAGATCCCAACCTTACCTCTAAAATTGTAGTTTGGGCATAGTATCAACCTTTGTAAATTTGTGCAACGAGGGAATCAGGTTTTTTCCACATTCTCCAACACTGCTTTGCTAATAGAGCTTGATTGAAGACCCTAAAGTCTCTATATCCAAGGCCTCCTCGTTGTTTGCTTTGATAAATATCCTTCCAAGCAATCCAATGCGCAGCTCGGTGACTCGAATGCCTCAAAGCTCCCCACAAAAACTTGGCTGAAAGTCTATTAAGTCTTTTGCATAGGTCGATAGTAAATTTGAAACATGACATATATATAATACACAGGCATGCAAGAAAGAACAGATCTTATTAGAGTGTCAATGACCGCTTTGGATAAAGTATGATTTTTCCATCCTGCAAGTCTTTTTGAGATTCGTGCTTCAACTAACTGGAATGTGTCACTTTTGGATCTAGTGATCAGAGTTGGTAACCCTAAATAGCGATCCTCTGTGCCAATTGAGCCTACTCCCAGAATCCCAGCCATGTCTAACATTGTTCGCGCTTGGGTATTCTTACTGAAAAGGATTGCTGATTTATGGAGGTTAACCTTTTGGCCGCTCAAGCCTTCATAAACATTTAAAAGCGATATAAGAATCTGACACGATTCTAGGGTCGCTTGTAGAAATAAGAAGGAGTCATCCGCAAAGAAAAGATGAGAAATCGTAGGACAAGGTTCTCTAATTTGAATACCACTTAGGAATCGAACTGTTATCGCTTGGTTGATTAAGGCTGAGAAGCCTTCCGAACAAATAGCAAACAACAAAGGGGATAAAGGATCACCCTGACGTATTCCCCTTGTGGGTCGAAAGTAACCATGAGGTGTTCCATTAATTAAGACAGAAAAGAAACGGAAGATATGCATTGTCGAATCCAGTAAGTGAACCACTCATCAAACCCTTATCTCTTCATCATTTCTAGAAGAAAGTCCCATTCGATTCGGTCATAGGCCTTTTCCATATCCAATTTAAGAGCCATGTAGAAGCGTTGGCCACTTCTATGATTTTTTAAAAATTGAGTTACCTCATGACTAATTAGTACGTTGTCAACGATCTGACAATCTCGTATGAATCCATTTTGGCATGGAGAGATGATGGTCGGTAGTACTTTGGCAAGCCTGTTTGCCAATAATTTGGCGATCAACTTATAGATAACTTGACAAAGGCTGATTGGTCGTAGCTGTTTCATTGTTCTTACATCTGTGGTCTTAGGTACTAAAGCTATCCAAGTATGATTAAAACTAGGGAGAAGCCGACCAGAGTGAAAAAAAGCTGACACAGCCGCTACCACCTCGTTTCCAACAACGTCCCAATACCGATGGAAGAAACTAGCCGGGAAACCATCAGATCCAGGCCTAAGATGCTCCCAAAGAGAACATTGTTTTTCGTATCTCTTCAGGAGAGAAGGGAGAGATGA